ATGGTGTATGCAGGGGGTCAGGACCTGTCATTTTATAGACCCTGGCTTTTGCCAACCCGCATGGGTCACCGCCAAAACCCGCATTTGTGACCCCTTGTGCCATTTTATGGTGTATGCAGGGGGTCAACACCTGTCATTTTATAGACCCTGGCTTTTGCCAACCCGCATGTGTCGCCCCCCAAAACCCGCGTTTGTCACTCCTTATGCCATGTTATGGTGTATGCAGGGGGTCAATACTTGTCATTTTAGAGACCCTGGCTTTTGCTAACCCGCATTTGCCACCCCCAAAACCCGCATGTGTCACCCCCTGTGCTATTTTATAGGTCATGCAGGGAGTCAGACCCTAGCTTTTGCCAGAGCAGGCATGCATTGAAGCAATCCATGTGGCTTGTCTGGTTGCACAGTTCATTTATGTTCATATGAAACCAGCAGGGGTTTCACATGGGCCCATGCAAAAAGAAGCCAGACACACCTCGGAAGCAAAGCAAGCCCAAGGAAAAACTTAGAGCAGCATAATGCCAGCAGGGAACACCTGCAGTGGCCACAGCAGTGGCCTTGTTTTATGGTGTATGCAGGGGGTCAGGCCCTGTCATTTTATAGACACTGGCTTTTGCTAACCCGCATGTGTCACCCCTTGTGCCATTTTATGGTGTATGCAGGGGGTCAACACCTGTCATTTTATAGACCCTGGCTTTTGCCAACCCGCATGTGTCGCCCCCAAAACCCGCATTTGTCACCCCTTGTGCCATTTTATGGTGTATGCAGGGGGTCAACACCTGTCATTTTATAGACCCTGGCTTTTGCTAACCCGCATTTGCCACCCCCAAAACCCGCATGTGTCACCCCCTGTGCTATTTTTATAGGTCATGCAGGGAGTCAGACCCTAGCTTTTGCCAGAGCAGGCATGCATTGAAGCAATCCATGTGGCTTCTCTGGTTGCACAGTTCATTTATGTTCATATGAAACCAGCAGGGGTTTCACATGGGCCCATGCAAAAAGAAGCCAGAGGCACCTCGGAAGCAAAGCAAGCCCGAGGAAAAACTTAGAGCAGCATAATGCCAGCAGGGAACACCTGCAGTGGCCACAGCAGTGGCCCTGTTTTATGGTGTATGCAGGGGGTCAGGCCCTGTCATTTTATAGACACTGGCTTTTGCCAACCCACATGTGTCACCCCCCAAAACCTGCATTTGTCACCCCTTGTGCCATTTTATGGCGTATGCAGGGGGTCAACACCTGTCATTTTATAGACTCTGGCTTTTGCTAACCCGCATTTGCCACCCCCAAAACCCGCATGTGTCACCCCCTGTGCTATTTTATAGGTCATGCAGGGAGTCAGACCCTAGCTTTTGCCAGAGCAGGCATGCATTGAAGCAATCCATGTGGCTTGTCTGGTTGCACAGTTCATGTATGTTCATATGAAACCAGCAGGGGTTTCACATGGGCTCATGCAAAAAGAAGCCAGAGGCACCTCAGAAGCAAAGCAAGCCCGAGGAAAAACTTAGAGCAGCATAATGCCAGCAGGGAACACCTGCAGTGGCCACAGCAGTGGCCCTGTTTTATGGTGTATGCAGGGGGTCAGGCCCTGTCATTTTATAGACACTGGCTTTTGCCAACCCACATGTGTCACCCCCCAAAACCCGCATTTGTCACCCTTTTTGCAATTTTATGGTGTATGCAGGGGGTCAACACCTGTCATTTTATAGACCCTGGCTTTTGCTAACCCGCATGTGTCACCCCCAAAACCCGCATGTGTGACCCCTTGTGCCATTTTATGGTGTATGCAGGGGGTCAATACCTGTCATTTTATAGACCCTGGCTTTTGCCAACCCGCATGTGTCGCCCCCCAAAACCCGCGTTTGTCACTCCTTATGCCATTTTATGGTGTATGCAGGGGGTCAATACTTGTCATTTTAGAGATCCTTGCTTTTGCTAACCCGCATTTGCCACCCCCAAAACCCGCATGTGTCACCCCCTGTGCTATTTTATAGGTCATGCAGGGAGTCAGACCCTAGCTTTTGCCAGAGCAGGCATGCATTGAAGCAATCCATGGCTTGTCTGGTTTCTGGTTGCACAGTTCATTTATGTTCATATGAAACCAGCAGGGGTTTCACATGGGCCCATGCAAAAAGAAGCCAGAGGCACCTCGGAAGCAACGCAAGCCCAAGGAAAAACTTAGAGCAGCATAATGCCAGCAGGGAACACCTGCAGTGGCCACAGCAGTGGCCCTGTTTTATGGTGTATGCAGGGGGTCAGCCCCTGTCATTTTATAGACCCTGGCTTTTGCTAACCCGCATGTGTCACCCCCAAAACCCGCATTTGTGACCCCTTGTGCCATTTTATGGTGTATGCAGGGGGTCAATACCTGTCATTTTATAGACCCTGGCTTTTGCCAACCCGCATGTGTCGCCCCCCAAAACCCGCGTTTGTCACTCCTTATGCCATTTTATGGTGTATGCAGGGGGTCAATACTTGTCATTTTAGAGATCCTTGCTTTTGCTAACCCGCATTTGCCACCCCCAAAACCCGCATGTGTCACCCCCTGTGCTATTTTATAGGTCATGCAGGGAGTCAGACCCTAGCTTTTGCCAGAGCAGGCATGCATTGAAGCAATCCATGTGGCTTGTCTGGTTGCACAGTTCATTTATGTTCATATGAAACCAGCAGGGGTTTCACATGGGCCCATGCAAAAAGAAGCCAGAGGCACCTCGGAAGCAACGCAAGCCCGAGGAAAAACTTAGAGCAGCATAATGCCAGCAGGGAACACCTGCAGTGGCCACAGCAGTGGCCCTGTTTTATGGTGTATGCAGGGGGTCAGGCCCTGTCATTTTATAGACACTGGCTTTTGCCAACCCACATGTGTCACCCCCCAAAACCTGCATTTGTCACCCCTTGTGCCATTTTATGGCGTATGCAGGGGGTCAACACCTGTCATTTTATAGACTCTGGCTTTTGCTAACCCGCATTTGCCACCCCCAAAACCCGCATGTGTCACCCCCTGTGCTATTTTATAGGTCATGCAGGGAGTCAGACCCTAGCTTTCGCCAGAGCAGGCATGCATTGAAGCAATCCATGTGGCTTGTCTGGTTGCACAGTTCATTTATGTTCATATGAAACCAGCAGGGGTTTCACATGGGCTCATGCAAAAAGACGCCAGAGGCACCTCAGAAGCAAAGCAAGCCCGAGGAAAATCTTAGAGCAGCATAATGCCAGCAGGGAACACCTGCAGTGGCCACAGCAGTGGCCCTGTTTTATGGTGTATGCAGGGGGTCAGGCCCTGTCATTTTATAGACACTGGCTTTTGCCAACCCACATGTGTCACCCCCCAAAACCCGCATTTGTCACCCTTTTTGCCATTTTATGGTGTATGCAGGGGGTCAACACCTGTCATTTTATAGACCCTGGCTTTTGCCAACCCGCATTTGCCACCCCCAAAACCCGTATGTGTCACCCCCTGTGCTATTTTATAGGTCATGCAGGGAGTCAGACCCTAGCTTTTGCCAGAGCAGGCATGCATTGAAGCAATCCATGTGGCTTGTCTGGTTGCACAGTTCATTTATGTTCATATGAAACCAGCAGGGGTTTCACATGGGCCCATGCAAAAAGAAGCCAGAGGCACCTCGGAAGCAAAGCAAGCCCAAGGAAAAACTTAGAGCAGCATAATGCCAGCAGGGAACACCTGCAGTGGCCACAGCAGTGGCCCTGTTTTATGGTGTATGCAGGGGGTCAGGCCCTGTCATTTTATAGACCCTGGCTTTTGCTAACCCGCATGTGTCACCCCAAAAACCCGCATTTGTCACCCTTTGTGCCATTTTATGGTGTATGCAGGGGGTCAACACCTGTCATTTTATAGACCCTGGCTTTTGCTAACCCGCATTTGCCACCCCCAAAACCTGCATGTGTCACCCCCTGTGCTATTTTATAGGTCATGCAGGGAGTCAGACCCTAGCTTTTGCCAGGGCAGGCATGCATTGAAGCAATCCATGTGGCTTGTTTGGTTGCACAATTCATTTATGTTCATATGAAACCAGCAGGGGTGTCACATGGGCTCATGCAAAAAGAGAGGCACCTCAGAAGCAAAGCAAGCCCGAGGAAAAACTTAGAGCAGCATAATGCCAGTAGGGAACCAGGTCTTTGATTTTCTCACCCTCACACAGGAACTGAGGCGATCACCACCTGTGCGATCCAAATTCTCGCAGTTGATTCTTCGTTGCTGCTCATTGAAGCAGATCACATAGCGATGCAGACGAAATCAAATGAAGATTCGTTGGGGTCAAAAAAAATGTATGATGTTTGTGTGAGATATCTCTGTGGATCTTTGGAGGTCGAAAAAGGTTCAGACAGCAACGCTAGGACAATTCAAAACATTTCAATAATTAACAATAATTATATACAGATATATTTCGATATTTAATCGATATTTGAAAATATAAGATGATCTATGATCTATTTTTGATAATATCAAGATATAACAAGTATGTCATGGATCCCTCATGTTTATCGACATGTTCAACATGGTGTTTCATTATATGAATTCTTTTTGGGGGGGTCAGCACCTGCCATTTTATAGTCAGAAGGCTTTTTTCTGTTAATTTCTGGACTCTGGTTAGGGGCCACCGTGTTCAAATTATAGTGCCTCAGGGGGGTTGGCACCTTCAATTTATAGACCCCCAAGGGGGTTGGCACCCACCGTTTTATACTATAAAATGGCAGGTAGGACCCCCCCCCTGAAAAGTAACCCCCATCTGTATATACATATATGTATAATATATATATATATACATATATATATACATATATATATATACATATATATATATACATATATATATATATACATATATATATATACGACTGTCTACAATTGCATATATTTCTATTTGATGGGCACATAAGTACCAACTGATAACTAGGGGGAGCTATGGAACCTAGTTACCCCCAACAGATCCCAACAAGTTTTGGGCAGATTGGAAAGCTGCGAAACTGGGGCCCCAGTTGAAACCATGTGGATGTTCAGAATGAAATCCGACAACACCGCGGAACAACTCAGACATATATACTATAATATATATATAGATCTACTATAATATATATATACACTATAATATATATATATATACACTATATTATATATTCCAGGAAATCACAGCTTGTGGAATGCCAACTTTCTGCTGAATCCCCTTTTTGCTGGTCCGGCCGAAGGAACCACAGATCTTTTGGCAAGTTTTGGCATTAAGAGGTAGAACATGTCGTGTTAACCTCGGAAAGATACCCTTTGGTAAACATTGGAAAATCACAATGACAAGATAGCAATCAACTACAAATGGGCTATGGTTTCCATAGCTATGTTCAATTACCGGACAGTAATTCCATGTGAATCCCATTCTTAACCATGATTAAACATCATCAACGTGGGTAAAACAATGTCATAAAACATCCCCCTGTCATCACCAATTTTATAGGTGGTATAAACCATTCCCAGTCATAGGTGGTTTATGACATTGTTTTACCAACAATAATGACAATGATCGAATAATATATATATATACATAAATAATAATAAATATAGAATGATAATAATAATAATAAGACATGTAACAATACTGGTTAATCTCCATGATCATGTGATCATCTCACGGATAACTGGTTGGTGGTTTGGAACATGTTTTATTTTTTCATATATTGGGAATTTCATCATCCCAACTGACTTTCATTTTTTCCAGAGGGTTGAAACCACCAACCAGACAATGATGTTGCTTAAGGATTGATCCATAATCACTAGTAATGATCATCCCAGCAACCCCCATTCCCATCCATTCCCTACTAAGCACCAGTAAGTAATAGTTATCCCATTGTTATCCCATTGTTTCGCTATGTCCAGGTTATCACAGCCTTGGCGCGCAGTGCTGCCTGGGAAGCTGCTCAAAGCACGCTGCTTTTTGGCCTCGCGTATTTTTTTCACCGGACATGGGCAGAGGTTGGGATGGCTTGGATTTTTGTTTGAAACAGAATCAGAATTTACCAACAAATTAAAATATTGGTTTCGAAACTTTGGGGTGCTCCATCTTTTTTCACTTATTTTCATCTTTTTTCATCAACCAGGTGAGCATTTGGAAACTCTGTGACTTTGGAGGTGTTGCAGAAAACCTCGAAGGCATTGAAGCCATGAACCACAGTTAGCCTCTGGTAAATTCACCTAGACCCAGAAAATAAGCCATTCTTGGTGGAGCAGGCGCCAGCCATGGCGAAGGGTGCGGTACCCAAAAATGGATGGTTTATAAAGGAAAATCCATGACTGGTTGGTGGTTTGGAACATTTGGATTATTTTTTCCATATATTGGGAATAATGATCCCAACTGACTTTCATATTTTTCAGAGGGGTTGAAGCCACCAACCAGCAGAAAATTAGCCATTGTTGGTGGACACTCATCTTCCAACCCCGAAGAATGCCAGGGTCTATGATGTCTATGTTAATCTACTGGAGGGTACATGCCCCTAATCAACCCAACCGTCAACCAGGTGAACTGTGCGTCAACTTAGCTATAATGAGGAATGAGGATGTTCTAAGGTTCCAGAATGAGGATTAAATGATGATTAAATGGGGCACTAAAAAACATGATGATTTCCGATCTGTGACTCGCGGACCTTTTCATAAGCCCTATTTTTTTGAATTTCATATACGCAGCTGATAAGAGTACAGATTGTCAGCAGTATAAGTTCTTACACACCGTTACAATCTGGTTGGTGGTTTGGAACATGCATTTTATGACTGTCCATTCAGTTGGGAGTTTCATCATCCATCATTAACCATTAACCATCATTAACCATCATTAACCATCATTAACCATCAATAATAACCACTAATATTGACCATTATTATCCATCATAATCCCAACTGACTTTCACTCACTCCATGATTTTTCAGAGGGGTTGGGTTGAAACCACCAGAAATCTTTTGGTGACCTCCTAGCCCCTGAGAACCCCTGAAGATGGACAAAAGCCATGGGAATACGACAAGGAAACCACCCATTGGTGAGGGGATAAACTAGAGGTTACACTGCCATAAATGGTGGGAAATTCCATAGTAGCTAAACTGTGTCAAGTTTCCTGAAAACACCATTGATAAACATGTGCGGTTGTTGATTGACACTTTTACTTTGAGGCTGGCAGTGTGCTATCAGCACTTGCAGCCAGACATCATCACCTACAATGCAGCGATCAATGCATGTGAGGAGATCGCGGTAGCTCCTCCATGGTCCCCCAAAATCTGTTTTGAACTCTAGGTATTAGGAATATAGATTAGCATATAGATATAATATGTGTATATATATATATATTAACAGTAGTGGACTCAAAAAATCAAAGACTCTGACTACAATTTCGAAGCTTCCAAGAGCAAAACGTCGGAACTGGAAGGGACCCTCGTAAGAAAATCGCACCTTTGATGCAGGAAGATGGCTGCTGGCAGCCCGCCATGCTCTTCTTGTCAGAGCTTGCCAACAAGGAGGGGAGATGAGAGACGATTGTCATGAAACAGCCAGCTGCAAGTGTCGAAACAAACGTTGGATTTTGTTTTACAATTGAGAATTGTATGTCATACAGTGTATATATATATATAGACTGGTTGGTGGTTTGGAACATTTTTTATGTTTCCATATATTGGGAATTTCATCATCCCAACTGACGAACTCATATTTTTCAGAGGGTTGAAACCACCAACCAGGTGTATGTGTATATATAAATATATAGATGTTGTGTGTATTGGGAAACTGATTGGATGTTGTGAATCAACATCAGCCCCTAACCATCTCCAATCCCTTTAGAATCCATGCGTGGCCTGCAGGCTGTTGCTGCCAGCGTGTTCACGGAGAATTCAGCAATCAGTGTGTTGGAGATACTCAGTTGGGAAATGGCTGATTTATACCCCAATTCTGGCCATCAAAGAATACAATGTGAGGCCCCCAAACGTGATAATTTGGTTTAGATTCGCACCAGTAACTAGTTCGTTATAAGTACAATAAACCATAGTTACTGGAGTTATAAACCAACTTAGCTATCTTGGGGGCCTCACATTGTAGGGAACATGATGTTTTGAACATTTTTGAACCCCGTGATTAGGGGAGGGGGCTAGCCTCTTTTCAGACAAACGAAATTGAGCTTTACAACTTATCCAAATAACTTTACCAATCTTGTCCGACTTTTACCCATGAAGTTCCAGTTGGCATCCCGAGTTCTCGGTAGTTCCAGCAGTTCGACCTCCGGTGCCGTCCGTGTCTGCGGCCGAGGAAGGCCGGCCTGTGGCGCCCTGCGCTGCAGTTGCTAGAAGGGCTGATCTGGAGAAAGGTCACGGAAGCTCGGGTGGCGGAGTCAATGGTTAGGGATACCCAGTGATATCCAAAAAGGGGGAATATCATATCCCATACAATATATGCCACTATAAATGGGCATGTTATTGTGGATATGATAATCTATATATATATATATACGTATATATATATATATATATATATATATATACGTTGAGAATTCAATGGGGGATATTCACCTTACACCGAGATGCCCGATCTCCCCGCAAGCCAGCTTGTCCTTTTCCCACTCAAGATCCCTAGTCCCACCCTCCTCGATCTGGAGCCGCGATCAATGGCGAGGAGTGGCCAAAATTGATGTGGCATGTCATCCAAGAGTCCAAAGGTGTCCAATGATGTCCATGACAAAGTATTGAATGATCTCATGTGGTTAATTTCACACTCGTCAAAATCTCAAAATTTTTCAACCTCTTGTTTCCATGTTTTGCATGAGATCATATGGAGATTTTTGGATCTTGGTCTCCTGTTCTGACAGCCATTTGAGTCTTTCACGCTTGTCAGCTCTCTGTCTCAAGATGTCCAATTCATCAAACATTGAATACTTCCTGAGGGCCAATGCCTTACGTAAAGTTCCCCCATCCATAATTTTCGTGAGACAGTCAGCCAACATCGCTTGGCTGCATACCCAACGGAGTCTGCAATTCTCAGTCAATCGTTCTCTGATCAGAAGACATTCCAAGGTTGTCCTAAATTCCTCGCACACTGGAGTCGAGGTCTTTGTGGATAAGTCAAAGACTGACTTGCAGTCCGTGGCTATGGATGCCAACGGCGACTCTTTGAGCACTTCGGTAGGGTTGGTCCAGTCAATGCTTGGATCTAACAGCCAAGACCAAATCAGGCGCAACCAGCTTAGCCTGTCCAGGGTACTACTCAGTGCAGAAGCTTCAGCACTTAAAGTGCTCCTAATGACACGTGGTATTTTACGACTGGACCAAGCTATTGGACAAATCACTGAGAGTTGGTTCTGAGCCATTCTTGAATCCGTGGTAAAAATGATTGTGCCCTGTCTTGATGCTGTGCCCTTCTTCGTCTCAAAAGAAGCATCGGAAAAAGCACAAAATGAAACCTGTTTCTCTGAGATGGGAACAATGACAAGGGTAACTGGATTCTTCTTGGCTTCGAACAGAACTCTATTTGCATCAAGGAGATCCTCTATGCAAGCCTTTGGTATCAGTGATTGAAGAATCCCTACCTTGGCACTGATATCAGGCCGAGTCTGTACTGCCGCGTACTGGAGCGAGCCACACAGTTGGCGAAGACATTGTCTCTCCGCATCAGTCACTGGTGACTGGGGCTCTTTTCTACGATGTCGACAAACTTGGATCGGATCTATTCGTTCCACATACTTCTTCTGACTCAACTCAATACTTCCATCCCTCCATTGACGATAGTGGATACCGCAAAAGTCAAATTCCCCAGTATTGAAAGCACCAAATGAGTATTTCTCCCTCAAACGTTCGATGACACTCAAAAAGTAATCATCTCCCCCTCCGATCCCGTCGTCTACATGTATGCCCAGCACTCCACGCACCTTTGGGCGTCCTTGTGCATCTGATGTCACAAGGGAGAACACGCAGCCGTCCAGTGGACAAACCATGAACCCAAGATTTTCCAGGGTTTCCCGAAATGAATTGTACCACAAATAGGGTGCGTCGATGCGCCCATAGGCGCCGCCTTCAAGACCGCATTGGTCCATGGTTGTCATCCTGAGGGCCTGTGCTATTTCAGGTGGTGGATGGATCCCAAGATTCCTTCCATCCCCAGCTCCTTTCAAGAAAGCAGTTGAAACATCAAAGTTCAGCAGTGTCCATCCACAGCTAGCAACCTTTTGCAAAATTAACTGTTTGCCATCTTTGCTAAGAGTGGGAGCATCGTTGGGAACGGAAGAAATGTCTGGGTCTTCAAATCCCAGAATCACCAGTCTGGCTTTGGCACGTTTTTCCGTTGTGCCAGGAAGCGGATCTTTCCATGTCAAAATCCACCTGCACCGCATGATACGGTTTTCAGGTAAAGTCCCTTTTACTAGCTTCTTTACCGTCCCATGATCTATCCATGCTTGCACCTCCTTTGCCTTTGCCTTCCTAAAAAGTTCTTTTTCAGCATGGTCTAGTGTCTTCCATTGGACTTCTACCCTCTGTTTCTTTGCGGTGGTGGCTATCAAAATGCACTCTGCCAAATTGCCATCTACCACACCCTCTTCAAGAGGCATCTCAGGAGATTCTGTTAAAGTGATTTCCCATACCCCTGAATTACTTAGTGGCTCACAATCATCCCCGAAAACAACAAGAGAATCATCCCCTTCTTCATCCGAACTAGGTACATGAATCCCAAGACCCCCCAAATCCCCATCTACTGTTACTGTTCCTCCATTTCCGGGGTCCTCTTCTTCGGGGGTACCACCCAAGTTACTTTCAGGGGGAGAAGCCTCATCTTCGGGTTGTTCACTGTCAATTTCCATTGTGGGTGTCGGGGCAAGTGAGGGCTCATAGCCATCATCATCATCAGTCGAACCAACAACTGGAGGAAGTTCATCCAGGTCAATGTAGTTCCGAGTCCTGGTGGATACCTGTTCGTCCCGGACATTACCCTGATCATCTTTGGGCAATGCATGATACTCCCGCATGGATGCTGGTCTCAAATGTTGGGGGCTAGCACGAATGAGGTATCCACCATGACTCAGCCACACAACCCTAGTTTTTTCGATGGTGATGACTTGGGCCGGGCCGTACCATCGACCCCTCTCATGTCTTAAATTACCCCTAACCCTTTTCCAGTAGAGAACCCAGTCTCCTGCTTCGAATTCGACCGCCCCTGGACGACTTCTTCGGAGAAGGGCACGCCTGCAGGAGCTATCATTATCAGCTCTAATGAAAGCTCTCCTTGCCTGTTCCCTACGCTCGAGACTTGCCCTAAAACGCACTCCCTCTGGTGTGGAGCTCTCTGCAAGCTCGTGTGCCCCAGCCTGCTGGTCTGCGGTCAGAGACGCCGGTAGAGCTCGGGCTTTGCCCAGCAATGCCTGCTCTGGAGTAAAGCCTTTGGCTCTGGACAGAGAGTTTTTGGCAGCAAACACCTGCCTCAAACAATGCCTAAACTCCTCAACATCTCTAATAGGCTTCTCTCGATCCATCCTAGTCAACATGTCCTTTACGATCCTACCATGGATTTCAGCCCTGCCGATCTGCCAGTGGCTTTCTCCAGCAGCCATGGCGACCTGGATGTTTTCTTGCTGTAAACGGTCATTCCATTTTGGGCTGATGTATTCGCCGGCAGGGTCTAGGTACAAAGTCTTGCATGGACCTGCCCAGTGCAGCCAAACATCTTCGAAAACTCGAATTTGCTCTTCTACCGTCCTACCGCTTGGGGCTCCAAGGTGAAAAAGAGTCCCTTCATCAATGAAGTGCATGAAGTGATAAGTTTGTCCCAAATTTGATTTCCAGTGAGCCCCATCAGCCCCTACGACATCGTTGAAATCCAAATCATCATGAATTGTCGAAGGATTAGGAAGCTTTGGTTTCTTTTGGGTCTCTAGACAAACATCACACTGCATGTCAAGGGCTCCTTGAATTACGGACGGCTCAGCACCTTGGTCGATTAGGAGACGCTGCAGTCTCGCAGGATCTGGATGGCCCAAATTATGATGAAGACGGACCAAATCAGTCCTCTGTTGGGGTTCCAAAGCTCTAAAAGCGGGCCCATGCCTCGGAATGATCTTTGGAGCCCATCCAGGTACGAGCGATTCTGCGGCAGGCTGACTCTCTACTGCTATTGGTTTTTGGTTATCAGTCTGGACAGCCATTGAACTCGGAGCTGAGAGTCCGTCATTTTGGGTGAGTGGCAACTCCATAGCAACATCTTCTTTTTCAGTGGAAAAACCCCGAACACCAGAAGAACCAACAAGACCCCTCTTGCCAAAAATGCTCACAGAAATCTTGGCAGGAACTGCTTTTCGAGTCTGTTTTGCTTTTGGGAGTTGTTGCCATTCTTCAAATTCACCCAAATCTTGAGTTTCACCGCTCTGACGATGTACCACAACGGTCTTGCGAAGGGGAATATCATCCCTATTGATATCTTGCCTTGGAACTCGGTACCTTTCGGTGCCGCGACAAATCGGGACAAGCTGAATGGTGATTTGAGGGAACAATTCTTGCAAACCAACAACCCGAGGATCATCAACCCAAAAATAGGCGTTACCAACCTTTGGAACATCCTTCTCAAAACTGGTGATGATTCCCCTCCAATCTACCACTGGGACTTCCATGACTGTGTCCCCTTCCAAGTCCTCTGGGAACGGCGGACTTTTTGTCCCATGCCATCGTCGACACCGCCGCATTTCCAAAACTTCTTGTGCCACTGGTCGTTTTGTCCCCTTGGTCAGTTCTTCCCCTACCAACAACTCTTCTAACAACAAAGGCTTTTCTCTCAACCCCAAACTTTTGATCATGCCCTGGACCACTCTTCTGGCAAAAACGGCAGTATAGGCAGCAGCATGCGCAGAAAGTTTAACCCATGGTTCACCTGTTGCCTTCACACTTCCCTGAATAGGTTGATGTTCATGATTTCCAGGACAGTTCTGTTGATGGAGTTGTGCATGAACTATCCGACTTGTGGTTAGAACTTGAGTTTGTTTCCTCAAAAACTTTTCGGAATAGGGGGCTTTCAGTCTCCCAGCTTGGCACATGTCAAAGTATGCGGGAAGAGTCCCTGTGGATACATCGTACAACTGCGGTTGTTTTACCATGTCTGACCCTCTGGGTTGCTCCAAGTGAAAGTGACGTCCATTAGCGACCTGGTAAAGATAGAGTTGGTTACATAATTCCAAATGACACCTGTCACCTTGCCTTCCCTGCATGATCATGTTTTCAGTGGTGACATTCCTACCCATGTTGAACCTGGAAAATGATCCCCAAAACTTGCACTCAGGGGCAACCCATACATGTTCGGGTTCATACATCATCACCCATGACCAGAGTTTGTTGACTCCTTCCGGGGTTGACCGATCACCATGCAAACGTGTAAACCGAAGTGCTGTCCCTCCCATTCTTTTCATTTGTTGAGTCAGTTGGGACTCCTGTTCACAGTAAATTTCAAGAAGAACAACAGGCCGACTCTGGTTAGTGGGCTTTGGGGGATTCAAGACTTCGGCATTTTGCCTGATTTTTGCAAAGTCTTTTTCAATCACCCCTACGAATTGATCGACCTGGGCTTGAAGCCCTTGGACTTGCGCCTCGCTCAGAAGTACTGGGTCTTGCTTCAAATGTCTTCCTCTTCCGGAATCTGCGTCTCTCGAGCCAGTTCTCTTTCGAGGAGGGCAATCTGAGTCTTGATTTGCTGCACTCGTTCGGCATTGGGTTCCACGGTCATCTTGGCCCGGTCGGGTGATGCCAGTGCCGTTGTTGATCTCTTGGAGGACTGGGGCTTCTTGGCATTTGATGACTGGGCTGTTGTCTTGGCGATCACTTCCCACTCTTGTTCCTCTTTCCCTTTGGCTCCCATGGATCTCTTCTGTGTCGATGTCTGGGACGTGCTCGGGTATCCCACCTGTGTCTGTGGAATCTGCCCCGGATGTTTCAACTGGTACTTCTGGCGGGCAATCACGTAGTTCTGCAGGCTCCTCAACCATGGTGATACCGCTTTGCGGTTGCGGATCTGGAAGATGTAGCAGGGGTGATTGTCGTACACCTCCGAAAAGGTCTGACCCTGCTGCTTGCCCGAGGGAACCTCGATCTCGCCCCACTGCTGTAAGTTCTTGATCCCTGGGGGAACTTGATATTGATGTCCTGGGGCGTCCATGTACGTCCGATTGGGTCCTCGTCTCCGGACAGATCCTGCACCAGGTAGGAGTCCTGAATCTCCTTCGGTGTGCCCATGGCTTTGTCTACTCGGATCACACGAAGGTGGTGTAGATGGCAGCTCAGCTTGAGCCTGTGTCTGCTCGGACTCGGTGGTTTTCAACGGCTCTCTGTGAGGTGGATGCTGTACAATGACTTCTAATTGAGTGGACATGCATGTTCGAGGAGGGATATTGGACTTTTGTTTTTGTTCATCCTCTCGTTTGTCTTCATGTTGATATATCTCTTCGGCATGTTTTCCAGCTGTTTCTTCATGTGTGATATCAAGCAGTGCAGTGACATCTACGCAGAGCAGATTCTTTCGGCATGTTTTCAGGGGAATTGTTCGGGGGCCCTGCAAAAACCGCAACACTTGATTTCGGGGATCAATCAAAACACCAAGTTCCCTCATGACTGCATTGGAGACTAAGAACGGGGTGCGACCCTGCACAACTTCCACTCGTATCCAGCCCTTTTGGCGCCGTGGGATGCATAAAGCATACTGGCTCTGGAGTGTGCCACTATTGCCGAAACGAAAATTGACTGTTGATGCCATTTTCTTAATGGGAACCCTATAAGATGGTTGGAAATGGCTTTCACAAGTCCGGGGACCCTTTCACTTCCAATGACAGACCTACTGGCACCTGTGTCAATCACGGCTTCTCTGGCACATTCTTCCGTCATTAAAATCACGGCTGGAGAAAACTGGCTGGAGTTCTCAGGAACTCTTGGTTCTGAGTCACGAGTGGGTGTCGCGGCCGGTGTCGAGGTCACAGCATGTCCATGCTTCCTACAGCACCGGGACAATGCATTTTGCAACACCCCTTTAAATTGGTGATTGGTTGTCTTAAACTTTGTGAGAAACCCTCGTGATGCGACTACTCCATTTGATTTTGACCCCTCCCTCAAATCACTGCTCTGACACACCATGAAACAATTTTCGGACTCATCACACCCTAGAAAAACATGAGGTGTCGAAATCCCTTGTTTTGGACCTAACGTGCCTAAGTCCTCAGCAGCGTCTGGGAGCTCATCGATCATCTCCATGGGAGTCATTTGATCTTCTGGTCCTTCTGGATGCGCAAAAAGTGTTTCCGCAATGGAGATGGTCTCGGCGGCAATCTTGGGCTTGTTGTCACCCTTCGAGAGGTTGAGGGGGCATTCACGTTTCCAATGCCCAAATTGTCCGCACTTGCGACAGGCCGAAGAGGCTATGCGGTCTGCAAGAGACCTGAACTTGGTGCCCTTGGCTCCTGACTTCCCCTTCTTGCCTTTGCCTTTGCTGGGCCCATTGCTGCTCATAGGCCAAAAACCTCGGACCCGAGCTCTCTCCTTGAGTCTCGTCCTGGCCTCAAGGTACGTGGCATAGCAGCTGGCCAGTTCAGGTGATTCCTGGGCCACTTCGATGAGCGTCTCTTCAAAGTCGTTGACAAAGATTGCATCTTCATCCCCTTCGTCATACAGCACCTGAAAGGCAGTGTCCTCATCACGGCTATCACCCTCAGCTAGGACCATCGCATGTTCCTCAGAAGGGCTCTCTGAGATGTTGATGTCATAGGTCTTTTTGTTGACCTTCACCCCTTGAAGTTCCTGGAAGAATTTGGCTCCCAAGAGGCGCAGGGCCTTTCTGGCGCCATCGTATGAGAGCTCCCCCTTGTTCTCCAAGATGATGCGTTTTCGGTCCTCCGGGCTCAGCTGTGACTGGCGTAGCAAGACATACGCCCTGATCTCTTCCATCGGCACCTTGTGCATTGCAAGATCTTCAAATGCCACATCATGGCGGGCCAGGTAGCTGTCATTTGTTTCATCGCTGCGTTGAATCGTCTGGTAGATTGCCTTCTCAAAGTAAGCCAGCTTCTCTTCGCTCGCCAACTTGCCCCACTGGCCACCTAAGGCCTCTACCAAGTACTGAACACCTCCTTCGCTTCTGAGAATTGCTGGATCCAGCCTTGCCACCTTTTGAAATGCCACACCCTCCACCATCAGAGCTGCCCTAGGTGCTAGCTGCGACACATGTTCCGGTGGCCAAATGGCCTTCAGAAACTGCAACTTCCGACTGTACACTTGAATGTCAGTCTCCTGTGGATTGAATCCCGGGATCTGCTGCCATGGCAGCTGACTTGCGGGCAGGGTGCTAGCTCCAGCTGCTTCCGCAGGAGATGCTGGTCTAGCCTGGCCTCGGCCAGAGTCAGCACCATTGCCAGCCCCTTCCATGGCTCACGTGGTCAGTTTTTGACCTTTGTTGGATCACTTGGTTGTCTTCCCTTGCACTGTTGTCAATTAACCAAAGGACCCTTAAACCCCTTTGGGAAAATGCAAGACCCCTTAGAGAGGAACCCAGCCTACTCTAAGTGCATTAGGAGCTTTACCTGCGGCAGCTATGAGCTCCGCTACCAATGAGAATTCAATGGGGGATATTCACCTTACACCGAGATGCCCGATCTCCCCGCAAGCCAGCTTGTCCTTTTCCCACTCAAGATCCCTAGTCCCACCCTCCTCGATCTGGAGCCGCGATCAATGGCGAGGAGTGGCCAAAATTGATGTGGCATGTCATCCAAGAGTCCAAAGGTGTCCAATGATGTCCATGACAAAGTATTGAATGATCTCATGTGGTTAATTTCACAATACGTATATATATATATCAATATATATATATATATTGCTATGATATATTTATATTTATTAATATGATTTGATATGTGATATCGACCATGATTTCCAGAGCTTTCGCTGGCAATCCCCAAAAGGTCTGTGATGAACACCTTCCGATTTCACAAGAGCATGTGTCCATTCCGACTTCAGAATTTCAATCCCAGAAAAATACCAAAAGTAGGGGCTTTGCCAACAAGAAAGGTGAGCCAAATCAAGATTGACCATCAATACTTTGGGGACCTCTGTATGAATTAATCCAACGGCCAGTTCTCCCACACTGATGATATCCGCCAGTTTGATCTGGTTGGTGGTTTGGAACATTTTTATTTTTTTCCATATATTGGGAACAATAATTCCATTTGACTAATATTTTTCAGAGGGGTTGAAACCACCAACCAGTATGATTGGTGACATCCCCATTGATTCCGTTATATCCCCCTTGGCATCTGAGGACATCGTGAGCTACAGCGCCAGCGCGGCCGCCCTGGCTAAAGATGGTCAGTGGCAGAGAGCTCTTCATTTGCTACGCCAGTTGCAGGCGGCGCTGGTTTTCTCGGTGCTGCTGAATGGTAAATTTGGGGGCCTAGTCATATATATGTATATATATATAGTTGTGTTGTTTTTTTTTCCCACCATTTAGGTCGGATAAACTGACTTAACAATGAACCAATTAAAGCGTATTTTTTTCCTGGTATCTAAGATTAGCCATGGTGAACCATTTTCACTGGGATGTTGGATGAGCATTCCAAGAACCCAGGGTTTTGTTAGTTCTGGAGTGGAGTTGTTGCTGATCTTGATGATGACGCTGACGATGATGGCGATGATGTAATCATGTTGATGTTGCTTTCGGTGGAAGTGATACTGATACTGATGATGATACTGATGATGATGATGATGGTGATGATGATGATGATGATGATGATGGTGCTGGTGCTGGTGGTGCTGGTGGTGGTGGTGGCAGTGATGACTGTGATGGATGCGTGTGGTGATAAAACAGGGCATCTTTGGGAAATTCAAAAATTATTCAAAAATCTCATATGTTTCACCCCTCAACAGAAACATCATTGTGGGTGGTTTTGCCAATGCGCCATGGATTTTTTTGGAGCTTCAAAGTCACAGTGATGACACGGTCAATGGACCAAGAGTTGGATCATGATAATCCCGATTGCTGGGTTGCACGCAAGTAACCCATATAAAGATCCCTGTTAGGGGCAGACCAATGAGCAATGGGAATTTCAGGATTCTAAAATGGAGGTACTGTACCATATCAGGCCATATTTTGAGGGGATGTTCCCTGAAACTAAGGCCTTATATAGGCCTTATCTATGGTAGGTACCTCCAATTTACCAATTTAGGTTCCTGAAATGGCCATTGAAATGATCGGGGGAAGGGACTGAACGCGAACTTTGGGTGGTGGCAGGAAGAAGATCTTCAGTGCGACGTGATCACCTTCAATGCAGCCATCAGTGCTTGTGAGAAGGGAGGTCAGTGGCAACATGCCTTGACTTTGCTGTCGAACTTGCAGGAGATTTGGGAGGTTTCATGGATTTGCTTCCTTTCTGAATCGCAGGTTTCCACCAGTCAAGTGGTCCGTGAAAGCATTGAAAATTTGTGCTTCTGAGAGTAGTTTGCGCCTGAAAACCAATAATAACCCCAAAGATCCCAAAGATCTCACCGAAGGAAGGAGCAATAAAAAGACACTACAGTATGTATACAGTGAACCTCTTCTTTGCACGGATTGCTTCTGCTTTTGTCTCAAGTTTGGTTAGTGATGGCTTCAGTATACTTACCCATATTTAGCATCAGTTTTGATGCTGTGTTTCACTGGGGATAGATGCTGGTATGATGGTTGGAAACATCATGCTTGTGCATGGGTGAACCGCCTCCTTCAGTTCTCCCTGCTGCCACCCCTTCGGGAGCAAACCATTTAGAATCCCAGATACGTCCTTTACTGAGAAACCAACAAAACGCACGTACGTGACATATGTTCGCATGATCCGGGTAGACACTACTTAACTTGGAATGTTTGTGCATCAATGCTTGTGAGTTGGATTGGTGTCTTCGTCTCTTATTCAGTTTTCATCATGCGGGATATGTGCTGGGGTAGACTTGGACGGGGGTTACGCGCGAATCCACGAACACAAGAAATGTAGGAATAAGTTCGCCCACTCTCTGCGTCACAGGCTGTCAGTCTTTGTGCTGATTTTGCCAGCGGAACATCTGAATTTAGACTGCTTCACGATGCTTTCAAAAGGGTGTTTTGACCCCAAGTCGGACTGGGAAAGGCATCAAATTGTTACATTCTTACAAAACAAACACGTGGACCCACCGCCAACCTTTTCTTCACACTTGGGTTAATACCATACCAAGTGATTGCATTTAAGGCGTGTTCCCGTTGTTTTATGGTGTCCATGGAACAAGTGACAAGGGCGTTTTTTTTTTTACTACAGACCATTCTGAGGTGTAGGTTAATCATCTACAAATGGGGCCATTTTTCATCGCTACCAGAGGGTATGCAAGTTCAGATTTTGTATTTTCAGTTTTTTAAACACATCCGCAACCTGTTTGCCTTTGAGTATCTTCCAATTTGAAGCCTGAAACATGTTGACGCCTCCTTTTACGAAAGTATATGATATTACTATATAACTTACAGTAACACTCAGATTTTTAAGTATCTGTAACTTGACTCACTTAATTTGGTTTTCCTAAATTTGGTTCCCTAAATTTGGTTTCCCTTGAAATCAACTTCACCATGTCCCATTTTTTCCCTGCGATTTTTTGTTTTTCACAGAATCCGTGGGAGTTTCCCTCCAGGAGCTAGAACTCGAGGCCACGTTGATTTCATACAACGCAGCTCCATGGCGGTGAGACCGGAAAGGCCGTTTTAAGTGATGCAGACCAAAGATGGCTATTTAAAAAAAAATGAGATGATGAATGATGATTGAAATTGCTATCTTGATTTTTTCGGGTTTTTGTTTTCCGGTTCGGAAGAACTGGGCGTCCTGAGATTGCTTGGCTGGTCATCTGACTTTGTAACCGGTACAACAGAATGCTGCAACCCAAACGGCCTGACCACTTTGATATCCTTCCATGACAAAAATGTACATGGGGGTTTCCTGAAATGGGGGTATCCCAATAGCTGGATGGTTGGCAAATGTTTGTAATGGAAAATCCATGAAAATCCCATTTTTTCATGCATGGATGACAACTGGGGGTGCCCCCATGACTTAGGAAACCTCCCCATGTCGCTGTGTTGTGGAACGGGGTCCAACAATACAGGAATTTGGTATTGGATCGTTCCCTCCTTGCAGGTGATCTAGATCTTTTCATTTGGGCAACATCCAGCAACTACTGTGATCATATGTGCCTGTCAAATGCAAAGCAGCGAAACCAGCGAAACCAGCGAATTTGAATGAATTTGATCCAAACCGAATGCAACTAAATTGATCAAAGGGAATGGGATCCAATTCCAATTTTAATTCCAATCTCATCCCATCTACCCCCAATTCAACTCCTTATCATTCCTTATCCCTCTCCAGTCCATCTATCTCTGCAGACCGGATCAGAAGTGGCTTTGCCACTCTTCCAAGGCCATCAGTGCTTGTGAGAAGCGCAAGCAGCTTCCCATGGCTTTGAAACTTCTGAAGGAGTTGAAGGCGGGCAGGGGGCTGCCGTTGAAAAATCTGGGCAATTTGATATCAGTTACGATCCCACAGATGATCTATTTTTCTGGTTGGTGGTTTCAAACATGGCTGGATTATTTTCCATTTCATATCTGGGATGTCGTCCCAACCCCATTGACGAACTCCATCATTTTTCAAGATGGTTATTGCACCACCAACCAGCAGTAGCTATGGAGAATCACCATTTTTAATAGGTAAATGGGCCATCAATACCATGGCTACGTTAAATAACCAGAGGGTATATATATATATATATAATATATATATTGGTGGATAAATCATGATGAATCACCCATGTTTGCTGGTTAAGTCCTCATTTTTTGGGATATAAATTGGGTGCTTGGTAAGCGACCTGGACTCGTGCCCCCGGTAGTACCGTTGAGTCCATGTGGGCGTTGCGAGCCATGTTCACCCAACGACGTTACGAGATATATCCATCATAAACCCGGGAGAAACTCACAGGAAATCATAGAAGCTTCGTTAATCTATCTGAAACTCCTTCTATATCCATCATATCCATCATAAACCTACTCATGATATACTATATATATCTATATTAGTTATCTTTTTAGTAAAGGTATGAAGTTATCAGTTATCTATTTTACAAAGGCTTATGATAACTATATTAACTATACTAATATCGACAAAATATCAGTTAACTATAGTATTTAGTATATAGGTATGAAGTTATCATAAGTTATCTAAGTTACCTATTTTATATAGGCTTATGATAATATAGGCTTATAATATAGGTATAGTTATCTATTTAACTATATTAACTATACTAATATCTATAATATCAGTTAACTATAGTAAATTATCTATATGTTATCTATTTTATATAGGCTTATGATAACATTAGTTAAAGGTAAACTATTATATTATCTATGTGTAAATTCTTAGCTTATGATAACCGTTAAAGGTAAAGCCGAAGAAGCCGAAGCCGCGGCCGGCAGACGCAAAACCTGCGAGCCGATGTGGTGAGCTACGGGGCCGTGATCAGCGCCTCTGAGAAGGCGACAATCTTTTTGGATGGAGTTCACCTATAAAAAGCTGGGATTTCACAGGAAATCCATGGGATTTCACAGGAAATTCATGGAATTTCACAGGTTTTTTTGCGATTTTCCTGTGAAATTCATGGGATTTTTCACTTTTTAAGCAATTTTCCTGTGATTTTTTTTGGGATTTCACCGGAAATTTGTGGATGGATTTCACCGATTTTGATCATAAAACATGTGGATTTTTCCCGGGAATTTCATAGGATGATCTGCTTAGGATGGAGGGTAATGGTTAGGATGGATGATCAGGATAAGAATCATTAGGATGCTCATGGGATAATCTGGATTTCGCCGCTGGTGATTACACCTGAGGAACTCAGGTTTTGTGTTGGGGGCTTTAAGCTGAGATTGGGATTATAACGGTACAGGGGGATGAGCCTTTCGTGAAGCCATGGATGATACTTGTAAGGTGATAGACCCCTCATCTTGAATTTCATAGGATGATGAAAATCATCATGAAATTCATGGGATTTCACGTTTTGCGATTTTCCTAGGACATTTTGGGATTTCCCAGGAAATTTGTGGATGGATTTCATATGATACAGGAAATTCATGGGATTTCACTTTTTGCGATTTTCCTATGACATTTTGGGATTTCCCAGGAAATTTGTGGATGGATTTCATATGATACAGGAAATTCATGGGATTTCACTTTTTGCGATTTTCCTATGAAATTTTGGGATTTCACCGGAAATTTGTGGATGGATTTCATATGATACAGGAAATTCATGGGATTTCACTTTTTGCGATTTTCCTATGACATTTTGGGATTTCACCGGAAATTTGTGGATGGATTTCATAAATTTGTGGATGGATTTCATATGATACAGGAAATTCATGGGATGTCACTTTTTTGCGATTTTCCTATGACATTTTGGGATTTCACCGGAAATTTGTGGATGGATTTCATCCTATGATCATAAAACATGTGGATTTTGTTCTGGGAATTTCATAGGATGATGAAAATCATCATAGGAGGTGAATTTTTAGATCCATCATTTCCATCATCATTTCCATCATCATTTCATGGTGAAATTCCATCCATTTCATGTTTTGGAGGTGGATTTTTGAGCACAAAGAATATGGATTTCGCCAATGGTGATTTCACCCTCGTAAGGTGGTAGACCTGGTGAGGGGATTCACCACGGGGAGCCAAGACTGGGAGTCATTTTGTGGTGATCCTATGGTTGGGATTAAATTGGGATCATCAAGTGGATAATTTTGCAATAGTGGATAATAACTGGTTGGTGGTTTGGGACATTTTTTTATTTTTCCATCTATTGAATATATTGGGAATTTCATCATCCAAACTGACGAACTCCATCATTTTTCAGAGGGGTAGGTATACCACCAACCAGATAACAATGGGATGATGATAACCAATGGTAACTAATGGGATCATACTGGGATCATAACTATAATTATTGGGATCATATTGGGATCATCAACCACATTGATGACTAATGATGGTTTACAATGGATTAGTCATAATTATAATGGGATCACCATTATCATATAATTATAATGGTTTCACTGATATGTGATCACTAATTATGATCATCAACAATATTGGGATAACTAGTGGCTGGTTGGTGGTTTGGAACATTTTTTTCCATATATTGGGAATAGTAACCCCAACTGTTACTCACTCCATCATTTTTCAGAGGGGTAGGGCTCAACTACCGATTGGATCACATACCCTCATTAACCATTAATGATAACCATCATCATTAACCATTATTAACAGTATATTAACCACAATGGGATACTAAGAATGGTGATTCTGCTATGGTTGGGATCATATTTGGATCATCAACCATGATGATGACTAGGGATACCCTCTGGTAAACGTTTACATAACTATGGAACATCACCATTTTTAATGGGAAAACTCACTATTTCAATGGCCATTTTCAATAGCTATGTTAAATTACCAGAGGATATATATATACCCTCTGGTTATGACTAACGTAGCCATGGTATTGATGGGATAACTAATGGGATCAACATGGTTTACAATAGTTACTATGATTTTGAATGGGCTCCCAGAGCTCCAATATGAACAAAACAACCTGGTCATCCTTGGTGGGGATCATCATCAAACTACCCCGATGAAGAAAGCGTTTGGATCCATTTGGGGTCTGAGGAATCAGGGTATATCGATTTACCCGGCCTGGTAAACATACAAAAAACTAGGGAAAATCACCATGTTTGATGGCTGAATCAACTATAAATGGACATTTTCAATAGCTATTAGCTATGTTAGTTTACCAGGGGGTACACACCAGAAATTGGCGATGGTTTGTACTTGTGAACCCACATCTGCCACAGCAAATGATGGTTCGGATGATGCGGTTCCAAGTTTGGGTCATCCAGGAATCAAAGGTGGCTTCAACCCTTCAACCCAACTCTATGAGTCAAAAAGATGGATCTTCTTCCCAGAGGATGTTTACGATAACCAGCCCCCCTTGTTGGCATTTCACAAGGATGCTGTGGTTCGGCCGAAAAAAAGATGGGATGACACCCGGGGATCTCAGCAGCGGGGGGGTTATCCAACATATGATTTATGTTCAGATGATATTCCAGAGATGGGCGATATCTGCCAACAAGAACGTGGATATTCATCCAAGATATCCAAGAACAATGGGCTGAAGATCACCCAGATATGAATCTGGAATGCACTTGTGACCTCGACTTGGATGATGGAGGAGCACATGGAGTATGTCACCACAAACAGTCGACATTAGAGGAGATTCATGGAACAGGTGTGCATCTAGCTGTTTCTCCACAGGTCACTTGCGGTGGCCTTTTCTGGGTTTATTTTTTGCAGCGTCCAGATCAATCAAATACAACTTCCAGGAGATTCTTTGAGACATGTATATAATATAATATTTACAGTACATTTATAATGTATATATATCATATGATGTATAAATCAGTCAAACCCCCTGATTTTTAGTGGGACATGTTCATGTGGGTTTTTGGACAAAAATGTTAAGCCCATAGTCAGCCATAATCCCTATGGTTTATCATCATGTTCCCCTATCACAATGACACCATATTGTGGGAAAGGGCATGCGGCATGCCCCATGATTTCACAAGCCCATTTCCATCTACCCTCTGGTAAACATACAAAAAACTATGGAAAATCACGATTTTGAATGGGTAAATCAACTATAAATGACAATTTTCAATAGCTATTTTGACATAACCAGAGGGTATATTTCGATATGATTCATTCAACCTATCACCTAATCTTCTATATGAATCATTCCACCTATATTTCTATATTAATCTATATAAATTAAATCACTAAATCACCTTAAACCCACATAATCCACATATTTCTGGATGTGAAAATCGTCACTTTCGTCGCCAGGCCGGGCAGTGGCAGGTGGCCTTGCAGGTCTTGGAAGAGATGGACCAGACACGTGGCAAAGGAAGGAGGTGAATCAATGGGGCGAATGAGGTGAATCACTGGTGAATTTTAGTGCCCATATGCTCCATGTATGGTATATTTACCTACATTTGGGTGATTTTTAAGGCAAATGTTGGAAAATATTCCATACATGGAGCATATGGGGTGGATTAATAATAAGGATAACCATTATTATTGTATCATTATTACTAACACGAATGATGGGAAATCATTGGGATAACGATTATGAATAGTGGATTATTGACCATTATTGTTTATTAACCCAATGATTTCCCATCATTCACCAATGATTATCATTTTTGCTATTAATCACTGGTTGGTGGTTTCAAACATTGGTTTAGTATGGGGTAATGATGGTGATGGTTAATTAAATTTAATTAATCATGGTTAATAACGGTTAATAATCACTGGTTGGTGGCTTGGAACATTTGGATTATTTTTCCATTTCATATATGGGATAATCCCAACCCCAAATGACGAACTCCATCATTTTTCAAAATGGTTATTGCACCACCAACCAGCAAGGATAAGAATAAATAATAATGATAACAATAATGATAATGATGACTATAAATATAAATCAAATAATAATACTGGTGAATTTCCATGATAATGTGATAATCTCATGGATAATGATGCTTAATAGTGGTTAATAGTGGTTATAATAGTGAATAGTTTAGCGTGAATGTCACGAACAATAATGCTTAATGATGCATAACAATGGATAATCGTGGATAATAATGATTAATGATGACCAATAATCACATGGAATTATGGGTCCATGATAATAATGGTTAATAGTCGTTAACATCCATGATGGGCTCATAACCTATAACCATCTATAACCACTTTCGTTAGTGGATGTTATCCATCATGGACAACTGGTTGGTGGTTTGGAACATTTTTTATTTTTCCATATATTGGGAATGTCATCATCCCAACTGACGAACTTCATCATTTTCAGAGGGGTAGGTAATGGTAGGTATACCACCAACCAGTAATTCACCAAATATCACCAAATGATATAAATTGGTAAAAAAAGCCCATTAACTAGTTCGATATATCACCAACAAAAACCATAGTTATAATTCAGAGAGGTAGGCTCAGCCACCAAGCAGATAAGAATGTGAATCAGCGGGGCTATAGCCTAATCAGCGGGGCTTGAATGGGAGCATCATGGTATGTCATGGTTTTCATAGTTAGCCCTTTGTGATGATAAATACTGGAGTCAACGGGGCTAATAACTTATATATCATTAAATATCATTAGTGGTTATTAGTGGTTTATAGTGGTTAATATCAGACATGATGGCGGATAATTGAGTATATTAACCACTATTAACCACTATTAACCACTATTAACCACTATTAACCACTATTAACCACTATTAACCACTATTAACCACTATTAACCACTATTAACCACTATTAACCACTATTAACCACTATTAACCAGTTAAACAATGAGTATTTACTGGTTGACTGACTATGCAGGGATATATCGGGCTACTTGAATGGAGATTTTGGGTGGGGGACTTTGGAAGGGACCTTTGGTGGGTTCATTTCATGATGAATCAGTGATAACAATGAATGGTAGAATTATAATAACCCACTATAGTCCCTTCCACAGGTTATAGTAATATTAGTTATATATGATGAATAGTAGAATTACTATAACTAATAATGGATAATGAATATAATGAATAATAGTAGAATTATAACAATTCATAATATGAATCAGTGGACACTAATAATGGAATGTTTACTGCGATATAGTTAATGTTTAATAGTAGATCATATCATGGACAGAGGTTAATGGTGGTCTCGTCAATGACAATATTGGGATTTTCTGTGCCAAATTGTTTGTGATTTGTTTTGTTTATTACTATGAAAAGAGTTGTCAATATCATGTAACTGTGGATGATAATATCGATTTTGCCACAATATAGTTATTTATGTAAGCACTGGGTAAGTAATTCAAGTAATAAATGATCAACTTAATAACTGGTAAATTATCCGTAACTCTACCAGAGGTAAAAATTCCGTTTTGAAGTTGGTAACACTAAGTAGATGAGCAACAGTGATTGAATGAAGAACTTGTAAACTACCCGTGATGATATGTGGACCACTATGAATCGTAACTTCCGGCTGTTGCGAACTGGCGAACATGATACACAGCTGTATATTGTACACAAATGATCACATATGTATGATATTGTATGATTGTGTATGATTCCATGTATGCGAAACTGGGGTAAACATCTCATTTTTGAGCTGGCAATCTTCAGTAGGTTAGGGGGTCCTAGCTGCTAGCTGTAGCATAGCTAGGGGCAAGCTGCTTGGTAACCAGTCAACAACCAAGGTGGATAGCCCAGTCATGTATGGGGGACTTACTAAGCGGGATTGCAAACTAGCAACTAGTTTCCAAGTGGGATGCACATCCAAGCAGAGGCATGACTTTTGCTGGGGTCTCTTGGGTGTGTGGAAGGGGACAAGCTGTGAGATGATGATGATGATGATGATGATGATGATGATGATGATGATGATGATGATGCCGGCGGTGGAAGTAGCCATAGCTCACCATGAAAAGGCGGGAGGCCAAGTTCAAACCATCAGATGGGAAAAAAAAAGAACCACCGGCAAAACAACGTGCAACAAACAACAAACAAGTGAAACCTCATAGGATTTGGAAAATTTAGCCATCAACGTATGGATTATATGATATGATATATATATATACATAGATCATTATATATTCTTATATATGTATGCAAATACGTAATTATACATTATTATACATATATATATATATAAATAGAGATTGTACGGTATATACATATACATATACATATACACAATTATTTACGTATTCATTCATTTATTTATTTATTTTTTTGCTGGTTAGTAACCATGGTTGGGAAATCTAAGCCGGGACCCCTTTAACTCATCACCAGCTCAGGTGTCGCGTGCAGCAGAACAGCATCACCTTCAGCGCAGCCATTAGCGCCTGCGAAGCGAGAGGCATCTGGACGCATGCGCTGCACCTGCTGAAAGAACTTGCAGGACATGGGGATGATAGGTATTACCCTCTGGTTATTAAACATAGCCCTGGAAAATCTGGATGTTTTAATGGGAAAATCTATAAATGGTATTTCAGAGGGATTGAAAACCACCAACCAGGGATGATAGGTATTAACTGGTTGGTGGTTTGGAACATTTTTTATTTTCCATAATATATGGGATAATCCTTCCCATTGACTTTCATATTTTTCAGAGGGATCGAAACCACCAACCAGGGATGATAGGTATTAATGTTGTTTAATACCCCAACAACTAGCATTTTTGATGGGGAACATTAAGATGAAACAGTGGATTTTGGGGACAACCAGATGAAGGGAAACCTGCGATCTTTTACCAAAAACTAGCATTTTTTCGTAGTTGAATATCTTTAAACCATCGTTTGCTGTCGTGCCGACTTGAAGTCGGCGGGGGCAGTGCCCTAGCATAGAGCGCTCACCAACCCTGGCTCTCGCGACGGCATGGCACACGCGTAAAACATATTCAGCGGCGTGATCTTCCAACTTGTGAAACCAGCATTTTATTTCAGTGCTGAATAAAACATGTTGGAACCAGGGTCTTCTGCAAATTCTTCCCTAAAGCGAACCAAGAAACGATGGGATATGAATATGGTGATGGGTGCAATGGATGTTGTGAAGGTAGCTAGCATGTGGATGGGATGCCCCAACTGACGGCATATTTTTGATAAGGAATCTTCTGATACGCCATCGCAGTTTTCGTGTTGCAAAAAAGTATAGACAAACCCATATGTCAAAGTTCCCCCCACCCAAACATAGCAGAAAGATGCTGAAAGCATCTGAAAGCTATCAAGGACAACCCAGTTTTTGCAGCGCTAGCTGTTCATAGCTGTTCATATCAACCCTGTAATGACTCATCTCATCTCAATTCACTTCCCAAGCATTTTTTCCCAACGTCGATGATCCCAGTAACAGGGTGCCCCCAGTTATAAATTGGTTTCAACCCCCCCATGAACTCTAGATACATCTACCACAACTCCTAGCTCACCTACTTAGCCAACTTAGCAAATTAATTTAACTACTTGCTTAGGGGTGCAGTTCTACTCAAAAGTGGATATATAACCATAGTGACAAGGGCCCCATGTCCCTACTTATGGGGATTAAATTCCCATAGCTTTATAGCCATGGCCTGCACCCGCCCTCGGGCACCAGGAGCCCAGCTTCCACCCAGCGTCATCGCAGTGAGCGCTGCGATCAGCGCGTGCGAGAAGGGCGACCAATGGGAGAGCGCCCTGTTTCTGTTGGCAGAGATGCAGCTGCAACGTTTGTGGCTGGGATGCAGCCAATGATTTCATGGTGGTGGATGAGCCTCCGAAAAAAACATGTTGCCATTTTCATGTGGAAAACGATGTTGAAGCGATGGGAAGCCATGGGAGGTATTCATGTTTCTTTGTTGCTTTCTGGATGTATGGCGTAGCTTCTTTTAGCTGGTTGTTCTACTGTATATTTGAGATTTGTGGTGGATATCCATGCGTTGGCTACTCAACCCGGTGAGTCATCTTTGGAGTACGCAACGATGTGACTCAAAACCATCTTGTATTACCACTAGGCTGAACAGAGATCAGAAGATACCCTCTGGTAAACTAACAGAACTATGGAAAATCACCATGTTTAACGGGAAAATTCACTATAAATGACCATTTTCAATAGCTATGTTAAATTACCAGAGGGTATGTTGAAACATCATGGTATCCCTCCATCACCAGGTCAGCTCTCGCCTTCGAATCGTAGTTTTTGCTGGTCTTTTCCATCCTGAGATGGGATGCAAATTGTTGGGGGAACATGGAGTAGCCTCAATCTTTGGACATAGCCATACCAATCAAGTATCTATTCGCTATCCCGAAGATCCCTAAGACTGATGTGGTTTACTAAAGATCCTGGTGAGGTTTACTAAAGATCGTCTAACAACAGGTCTGTTTTTACGGGTCTTAATTCGTGACTCACACACTCGACTTAAACATTGCCACTTGAAGTGGCTTCCAGGGAAATGAATGCACCATGAAACGACATGATCCTAGATATACCATCTGGTTATTTAACATAGCCATGGAAAATCCCAACCATACATGGAGGTATTTGCGGGAAAATCAGCTATTTCTATGGGCCATCTATACCATGGCTATGTTAGTCATAACCAGAGGGTAAAGAATACAGCTGGTAGTTCATGTACTCCTGCATCGGACAGAAGTGGAACATCACAAACAATCCAAACATATAGACGGCCAAGACATGTTTCCAAATAACACCATGATGGCAGCCGTACAAAGTGTAAAAGTAAGATGTCCGGCATGGAGGTTTTCGGCTTAGCCTTTCGTCAAGGTCAAATAATATCTAGATTCTAGATACTGAGAAGATCAAAATTGAGCTTGCAGGCTATGTCAGCTGACAGCTGACATCCATGCCGAGATTTGCAGATACACACAGTTCACAGTTGATCAGACAGTGCATCCACCTAGCATAGCTTTGCAAGCGCAGCTTTGTTAGCCAGCGTTTGCTTGATGGTCGCTGGCCCCCTGCAGAGACACATTAAAAATAGACAAGTTACATCTTACAGTTACAGATGTATCACACGCATCCACACATATGTCATGTGTAGATATATATATATATATATTATCATATATCTATATACATAACATTCATTGGTATGTGTGCGTATAAAAACACATGTATCACATGTGTGTATGTATATATCATGTAGATGATATACATGATTATGAAAAATAACAATGTTGTAATAGACAACTATACATACGCGCGCGCACACATATCTGTATATATATATATGTAATGCAATGCGATGCGATGCGATGCGATGCGATGCGATGCGATGTATATATGTATCAATCATATGAATCATATGCATAAAAACATAGTTTCCATTATTTTCCATTGACAAAAACTATGTCTATCCCAGTCGTTCATTCCGTATGGATTCCCCTCATATATCGAGGCCGCGCAACATAGTGGCCTTCAACGCAGCCATCAGCGCCTCTGAGAAGTGCTGCAGGTGGCAACAGGCGATCGCCTTGCTGCTGCAACTGGGTGCCTTGCCGTTTTTAGGGCCGGGCCGGCCAGGGTGCAACATGGCTTAAAGCAAACCATAAGGGATCCATAAGGGATATAGCAGGGATATATAATTCATATTATATCTATATATATATACATACATATATATATATATGTACATACACATATATATATATACATATACATACATACATATATATATATATACATACATATACATACATATATATATATATATATGGCTGCGAGTTAAAATGTAAAGCCCCGATCCATACCCTGAACCCGCAGGCCGATCCATACCCCCGATCCAAACACAGGTGATCCAGACAGATCCATACGTTTGGATCACCGCGGGCCGATCCATACCCCGAATTTTGACGCAACCCCATATATATATATACACATACAGGGATGGATGGATGGATAATGGGTGAATTCTCGTTCTTACGAGTCTCATGACAATTCATGATTATGAACTATTATGAATAATTAGTTGAATTGTCATGAAAAGTTGGGCTTACAAGGTGAGCTGTGGCTATCGTAAACGGCGGTCTCACCTTGTATCTGGCTACGGGACCGTGGGAAACGTGGTAAAATGTGGCCCTGCTGGTGTTCCTTTCTGACAAGTGGATTGTTAATACGAAAACTTGATACAATACATATATATATATTTGCATATATATATATACATATACACATGTATATATAGTATATATATATGTAGTATATATATATAGTATATATATAGTATATATATATACTATATACAAATATACTATATATATACAACTCAAATCACCTTGTATGAGTCACCCCAGTTGAGGTGCAGCGCGTCTCTCCGGCACCACCGTGACGTAGCTCAGTCAAAACAGCTGTTGAAACTTCTAGGGTCACAGCCAAAAACATGTTTTGATATGTTCTTGAAACTAATCATATATATTATATTAAATTATATTAAATTATATTGTATTATATTATATTATATTATGTTATATTATTTTATATTATAGTATATTATATTTATAAATATTGAAATTCCATGGGTATAGGTAGAATATTGTAAAATGCATCTTAAAATTCCATTGTTAACCCTCTGGATGATGTATATAATATATAGATATGAACATCCATTGGTGTCCCTAGAAAAACTATCTACAAATGATGTGCTTTCCCTATCGAGGTGAATCTACTGGAGGGAACAGGTATTTTTTAAATTCACAACTCAGGACATCTACCATCTTTTTCCTCCAAAAAAACACATTAGTGAAAATTGCCATGCCAATCTGGTTGGTGGTTTGGAACATGAATGGTTTATTTTTCCATTCAGTTGGGAATTTCATCATCCATCATTAACCATTAACCATCATTAACCATCATTAACCATCATTAACCATCATTAACCATCATTAACCATCATTAACCATCATTAACCATCATTAACCATCAATAATAACCACTAATATTGACCATTATTAACCAGCAATGTTTTTTTTTTCTGGATTTGCTGTGTTTCATCGTTTCATCCACCGCAATGACTGTGGAGAGTTTCATCCTCCGGCCCCAGGTATACGGCATTGTTGAGCGCTTGCCTTGCAGGGCAGCAATGGGCTCAAGGCCTTGCGCTGTTGAAGAACTGCCAAGAGGAGACAGTGCAAGGTGCAGCTGCGAAAGTTTTGGATGAGAAGTGGAACAGCAGAAATGGTGAATTTATAGTGATTTGTCGAATTTTGATCGAAATTTATGGTAATTTAAGTGATCCCAATGGTCAAATTTGGGTCTCCCGGTGATTTCTCGAAGTTTATCCCCAAGAAAGGGTCATTTATAGTGGCGAAAAAAATGTTTTTTGTAATCTGAAACTGGAGTAGCGCCGTGTTTGAAAAGGATGGTTTCATCATTGGTTACAATTTATGATTGGCAATCTTGGGGGATATATCCCATTGTAAATTTTTGCGCACCATTTACTCCCGTACTTTCCTTTCCCAAGCTGATGGTCATGTGGATGAAACGGACATTTTTTGGAACCTTTTGTTGGATGATGAAAATCAGGGTTTCCTTGCAACATTTTGTAAGGTTTCCCTTTCACTGCCCTCTGGTAAACTATGGACAATCACAATTTTAATGGGTAAATCATATAAATTTTCCATGGCTGTGTTAGTTTACTGGAGGGCAAGTGAATCTTAAAGTGAAGAATGGGTTGCATCTGGAAACACAGGCACTTGGTTGCAGCAACCAGTTCAGCTTCAACGTCAATACAATGTTTGGAGTTTGCAGCACGACATTTTGCTGTTGTAGAGTGACTGTAGTGCTGCTTATTCCTTCACTGGTTTCAGTTGTGTTTCCTGTCCCATGAGTTTGTGTGCTATTTGTTGTAACTCATCTGGATATATCGCGCGCACTATTCCCCCATGACATCCGATGCATCGCTGTCCTTCAGCCAGCCTGAAGGTGGTTGCCAGTGATGTTTATTGGTTTATATAGTCACCATTGACTATAAGAATACTATACTGTATATATATACTGATATACTGGTTGGTGGTTTGGAACATTTGGATTATTTTTCCATATATTGAGAATTTAATCATCCCAACTGACGAACTCCATCATTTTTCAGAGGGGTGGGTCAACCACCAACCAGATATAGATATATCATGACATATCAAACATCATTCCTTCACCAAATGTGGTCTGATTGGTAGTTGAACCATGTTGAACCAGCCTCAAACATAGGCAATTTGGAGATGTTGGGTTCATGATCCCATTTCTAGGATTGAAGAACTTCGACACATCTGAAAGCACCTTAAAGAGATCGTTATTTTGGTGAAGCTTGACATGTCCATGATATCTTCATTGACGATGCAATCCCATCCAGAAGCGGTCCGAATTTCCAGGCAATGTCCTGACGTATGCGACCCTTTGCAGCTTGACGGAGCTGGCCATGGAGAGTGGCAAGGTGGAACTTCCCAGGATGTTGGCTGCGGTGGAAGGGAAGGCTTTAGAGACGACCCGCAAGACCTGACCCGCTGTGAAGGGCCGGAGTTGGATGTGGATGGTGTGGATGGTGATGTGGTCCCAAGGATCAACCGTCCCAATTTCACCGGAGATCGGTGGTTGACGGTTGGGTTTACTTACCCCATGCGTGGTCCAGCCTGCGGCACCTTGCAAGCAACAGATGATGAAGGACTGGTGGGTTTTTTGTTGGGGAAGTGAAGCCTTAAGCAGAGGCAGAGCAGGAAAGCCGCAAAGCTCGCAGCAGTTGATCCCGGAAGGTGTGTTGCCCTTGCCGACCTGCACTGGGATGAAGTGGTGCCTCTCTTGGTCATCGCCAATCTTTGGAAAACCGTGCAGATAACAAATGGATGGCTTCACACTAAGAATTGTGTGAAGCCATCCTGTGTTATTTGCACCGTTTGGTTTGTCCAAAGATTGACGATGACCCCAGTCATGGCCATTTCAATAGACATGGGCTGCCATGTTCTCCCAAGGTTGTAGCGGAGTGTTTGGCCCATTTTGTGTTGGCTTCTGCGAACTGGGTCGGGAACAACATCAGGCACCAAAAATGAGAGACGTAGTCAACAATAAAAATGCGTGACCTGTCTGAACATGGGGTATACCGTATACCACCAAACACTGTTTTTCTAAAATGATTTTACTGTATATGATTTTATACGAGAAACTGACTGAACATGGCGATTCATCATCATTTGTTTCTTGGCCGTTGAGCCCCGACAGTTTAGCTCCGGTCAAAGTGTAGGAATCAGTAAACCTGTGATGGAGCCACAGGCTTGTTCATGTCGTTTGTGTGGAGGTTATACATACATGCATACATGCATACACGCATACACGCATACACGCATACACGCATACACGCATACACGCATACACGCATGCACACATGCACACATGCACACATGCACACATGCACACATGCACACATGCACACATGCACACATGCACACATGCACACATGCACACATGCACACATGCATGCATGCATGCATGCATGCACATGCACATACATACATACATGCGTAGACATATATAACATATTTATACATATTTATCAAACCTTTCGTTGACAGTCGGGTTATATTTTGTTGGTTTCTCCGGTATGTTTGTTATTAAGAGAAGCGGTTCCAGAAGGCCTTTGCAATGGCGCCACGTTTTGAGAAACGTTCGCTTGCCCAGCAAGCGTGGCTGAGCAGGGCCAAAAGGACTATTTTTCTTCCGAAGATGTTGAGTCTGAGTTGGCAAAACACCACTTAGAATGGTTAACCGGCGATATCGGTGGATGATATGTGTGCTTAAGAAATGGCTATGATTTTGGAGCCATTTGGCAATACCAGACACCTGAAATCAACATACAGCAACCTCATTTAGAAGCCGAAACATGCATAGATTATTTTTTCCGGATATCATTGGAGAAGAGACAAAACATGCCTCAATTCAGGTTGGGTTTTGGTGAGTAGCTGTTTTTGAGATTGTTTGGTGAGTTCCCGCAACATCCCGCAACATGAGTAGTGCAGTATCTAGGGCCTTGGTACTTTCATGATTTCATGCTTTGTTTTTCTTCACAAATCCAGAGCTAAACTGCGTTCGATTTTGCAGGTTATCCGTGTTTGGCAATATCTCTTCCCAAGACACAGCATGACTGGCTTGTGACATGTTGTGACTTTGATTTTTCTGTGGCATATCTTGGATCAAACGCAAATTGCCCGCAGTGCAACAAAGTCCAAGAAAGTGAGTCCTAGATTTGGATGAATGGAACATATACAAGAAGTACCCATTCTTGAGGGTAAAACCAGGGGTTGGGTAATTTTTCGATCAAAGCCAGCCCAAAACATGATGCACGATTAGATTTGACATACACGTGTCTATATAATGTATATATATATAAACTACAGTTGTATTCTACACTTAAAGTTAATTACAGTTGTATTCTATGAATAATATATAACATATGTATTAATATAAACAACAATAAATCAAATCAATACAACAACATGAACAGTTTATATAATTGTTCTTTTTCGCAGCCGCAGTTCTTGCGGGCAGCCAGATTGTGCCATGGGGGAAGTTAGTAATCATTGAGGTGAGCCTGGGAGATGTTTAGCAATGGTATGGGTCAAAATTTATGACTTGGACCACACATATTTTAGATGATTTTAGTCTATTTTCAGTATTAACCAGCTTATTATTGGATTACCAAGTGTTGACCCATACCCAAGATTGGGGAGGGTGGACAGACTGTCGATATTCATGATCCTTCCTGCCAAACTAATGAGGTACCAAGAACCGGAGTCTGAATTTTCTACCCTTCCTTCGGTGTATCGTCCCTTTTACCGCTATTTTATTGGTGTATTATACACACTATGAGACAGACCCATTGATTGATCTACCCTCTGGTTATTTAACATAGCCATGGTATAGATGGCCCATTTATAGATGATTTTCCCAGCTATAAGCCTCCATTTATAAGGGATTTTCCACGGCTATGTTACTATGTTAAATAACCAGATGGTACTAATTAGTGTAACATGAACAGCAGTTCAAGTTTGAAAACATATGACTGAGATTAGTGTATGAGTCATAAGCACCTGGAGATTGCGAAAGCCGTTTCAATGGAGATCTGATTGATAGTGGGTAGAGAACAATAGGGGGTCTGATGCTATAACCATTGGTTGCAACGGTTTCTTTTCGGGCACCGCTTCGGATGATTCCAATGAAATTTCTGGGTGAACTCCACGTGATATGTGCGGAATTCCACTCTGGCGTTGGGATTCTTAGATTGTGCATCGAAAAATTGGTTCATGACCATGGTTGGTGCACACAAATGGGTTCAATCCTCAATGAATGGATATGAATGGATATGAACAATATATTATAGTCATTTATAATCTATATTTGTATATATATATATATTTATATATATATATTATATATATTATATTTTTATATATATATTATCACCACCTACGCGCTGTCGTTTGGATGCACATCCAAATCCTCTGCGCTTTTTTAAATCTCATCCCCCAGCTTGAAACCGTGTCAAGGCCATAGCGTTGGAGCCTTCTGCCGATCCTCGGAGCAGCACTTTGATCCGTGAGTGTCTCGGATGGGTTAGATCGGTTTTCCGCAACGACTTCATATAGTCGTGAAAATGGGTGAACTGCAAAAGGTGGAAAAATAGGGAAGAATATGGAAATAATAGTACTAATATGGTAAAGTACTATTATTAATATGGAATGCTAAAATAATTGTAATAATAGTACTTTCAGATGGATGATGCGTGAGGTAAGTTCTGTGAACTGTGGTAACTAGCCTGCAGAGTAAAGAGCAAATCCAGTTGCAATGTTTCAGGCTTGGCTTGCCAATGTAAGAGCCATAAAATCCATGGCTTTGTCTTGCGATGCTCATGATTCTTACCACAAAAAAGGTACGGAATCCACAGGTTTACCATCATTTTCCCTCTTTTTGATGGCCATAAATTGGGGTATTCCTCATACCCAAATATGATTTCCAAACATCATATTGTGGTAAAAACATACCGCATTATACCCACTACAAACCATCTCATGAATATCCCGTGATGCTGTATTAAAATCAATTTTGTCGGTTGACTCACCATTTCTGAATCTCCAAACCATCTATGGAACGATACAAGGTGAGGCCACCCCAGTTATAAGTTGTATACTGGTTGGTGGTTTGGAACATTTTTGATTTTTCCATTCAGTTGGGAATTTCATCATCCCAACTGACTAATATTTTTCAGAGGGGTAGGTATACCACCAACCAGATAAACAATTATAAATCATTATAAATCAACTTGGGTGGGTAAAAGCTTGACCAAAGTTGAGTATCAAACCCAAAAATTCACTTGTATAGTTATATAAGTTATATATTTCCCAGTTAACCAAGTGATGTTTTTCTCAACTTGGCGGGCTCTGAGGCTGGGGCGGAGAAAACAGTGGCAGCATGCATTGCTTCAGCTGAAATCGCTCCACCGTTTGTCGCTGGAACGGACGCTGGATCGGTTGGGGTTGGGTTGGATCGAGGCTGGGACGATATATGTGTATAACATTGTATCATTGTATAATACACAATAGTTATGTTGTATAATTGTATAATATTGTATATGATTATATATTAATTATATGTATAACATGTATCATATTGTATAATATGTATATAATTATATAGTTGTGTTATCTTATTAATTCTATATTCCATATATACTTTACTGGTAGTATGAAAATAACTATAGTTAAATATACTAAATGCAACTACTTTTGACATTATATATATATATATATGTCTTCATGCTTTTTTTTTAGAGATCACGGACAGTCCCATATGACCATGCATCTTGCATTGACTTGAGCAGCTGCTCAGAAAGACATCATTACCCTTTGGTAATTTAGCATAGCTATGGACATATCCATGAAAATCATATTTTTTTTCTAGGTAAATCATCGAACTCAATAGGACATTTTCATCCATTTTCTATAACTACGTTGAATTACCAGAGGGTATATGGGATTTGAATGGGTTTTAGAAGCAGCATCTACATGACTTTAACAACTATTTTGACTATCATTTTTACTGGCTTAGACTGTTATGACAATCAAACATGGAGATATGCGGTGATTGATGAATGATTGGTATTGGTTGGTTGGTGATTGGTTCCGGGCTTATGCTACTCGAAGATGAGGCTTTCCAATCTGCTTTTTTATGGGTCACAATCATTTTCCCCACAACAACATATGTACTTTGGATGCACGCCACATTTTCGGACTCAAATATCACAATTATATGATTACCCTCTGGTTATGTCAAAATAGCTATTGAAAATGACCATAGAAATCGTGGATTTTCCCATTAAAAATGGTGATTTTCAATAGCTATGTTAAATTACCAGAGGGTATCTATAATATACTAATATAATAATCTAATATATATATATTTATTTATATATTCCATGTTCAGTCCTTGTTGATCTATCATATTACGCATGAAACAACTGGAACACCATATTGTTACCCACTATCTATCGTATATAAACCCATGCATAGACTACAAATCAGAAATGAACTATGAATAAACTATGAAATGACCCTTTTCCCGTCAAATTCCCATGCTTTCTCACCATATTCTGAATGGATTGGTTTAGGGGAAAATCTATACCCTTGTTTTTCCGATGGAATATGGGGCTTTCCTGTATGATTTTTTCCCGTAAACCAATCCATTGATATTCCCCTAGCGTTTTTGGAACGCTTTAGGAATGAATATCTCTACAGTGCCGCCATCTCTGCTTGCGAGAAGAGCGCCTTGCGCTGATGGGTCAGGAATGATGGCTAGTAGGGGCAGTAGATGTAACCCCAAAATAAGTTACCCATAGATATAAACATTGTAATATAATAATGTGTAATAGTGTACATTCAATGTATAATAATATATAATACCTTTTGGTAAACAAACATAGCTATTGAAAATGATCATTTATAGTTGATTTACCCATTAAAAATTGTGATTTTCCGTAGTTATGTTAGTTTACGAGAGGGTAATATACATACACTGTACATAAACATACACATATTTGGAGTGTGTATATATATATATATTTGGAGGGTTGATCATGTTGACGCTTGTCGCCAAACAAGGGTAATTATGACGAAAATATCAAATTTGAGCAGACTTTTTTGCCATTGAGAGTTGCTGGGATTCCCAGTTGGCCACGTTGACAACAGTTGCGTCACTAGATGCAGTTAGCAACACATATGTATATAATTGCATACCAGGGTAACAACGATTTTGGGCCTAGTTGAGTCTTTTTATACCCTCAGGTAATCAAACGTGGCATTGAACAATTCAGCGTTTATAGAGGATTTACCACTAAAACCTCCACTGATCGGGTATTTTCTGCCATGTTGTTTGATGAAATTGGAGGGTATATCGATTCATGGTCCATGATTATGCCATTGTCATCCCCATATAGATCCATATAGGAATATAGAAGTTTATTAAACTACCATTGTTGAGGGTTACACCTCCAAGTATCCATTCATCTAAAAATCATGGTCCTGAGTCCTGTTTGTGGCGATCCTGGAGATGGTTCTTCCCTTCTCGACAAAGGGACCCAAGCAGTTCACAAGTGGTTTCCCCATCCCCAAACTCACCATTTTTCTTGGTGGTAAAACCCAACCCCAAATGGTACGTAGGTTTAGTATTGGGTTTACCACAATTATATATATATATACGTATATACATATTCGTTATTTTCCTCTTATTAACTTAACTAGGATGTTCGTCCAAGTATTTATGTGGCATTTATGCCACATATATATATATAATAGGGTTTGAAATCACGGTAATATCCAATTATCAACTGAGATGCATATCTTTTATCAGGTGAGAAATGGAACTTTGCAGTGGCTTTGTTGGAAGCGCTTCCGAAAGTTGATGTGTGGCTCAGCTGCAGGGACGACGACTAGCCTCTGTTGTCATCCAACGTGGCTGCCTGATGACACCGGTAGCCATCCCATGACTAACTTGGACGACTGGATGGGTACTGCTGGGATATATAAGCCTAACCAGCTAAAACAACTATCTCTTGCAGACCACTATATATATGTATATACATGTATAATGTGCTAAAGCCAATAAACAACCATCCCCAAACTCACCATTTTTTTGCTGGGTGCTACAATGTGCTATAAATCATCCCCAAATGGTAGGTTCATGGCATTGGGTTCCCACGTCAAGATTAGCCATGTAATTTCTTGGAACTTGGAACTTCACTGGAGTCAAAACTTTGACGTAACTATGACATACAGCCTGACCCCATTGTACAACTGGGACCCCGCACTCGACACCAACGTCCAAGACACATGGGTTGTTCGAGCCATCTTTTTGGAAGTCTTGTGCAGTCTTTTGACTTGGGTAATGTGCGCAAAACAATGTTATAAACCGCCCATTTGGGAATGGTTTCAATCCCACCTATAAAAACGGTGATGACTGGGGGATTGGTTTATTATTGTTTTACCCACATATGAAAAAAGACATGAACGGTGAAAAGACTCAAATCATCGAATGGGGATGTGACTCCAAGAATAGATGGTATAGTTGGAACCCGAGAATTAGTGGTTGGTGGTTCATCATTCCTACCCCAACCCTGTTGGGATGTTGGGGGCCACCTTGGAAGGGGTTGGTTACATCATGGATTTTTGCAGTGCTATGTTTGTTCGCGATGCCTCTTTTTGTGTTCGAAACCGTATGTGTCGGTGTTGGATTATATACCTGAAGGTCAAATACAGCAGAACATCTCCATGCTCTAAGAATCTTTGCTGAATCGACGGGCTTGCCTTGAAAGGCATTTTCCTGTTGTTTGATAGTTGATCGCGTGGTGAATCTTTATTTCCTTTGATGTTTTTTTTTCGTCAGGCAACTCAAGACTTCCCAAGAAACCCAACAAACCCAACTAAAGGTTTACATCCTCATGACATACATCTATACCATTAGTGTGTTGCTATATTGCATATAAACCATGATGTGTCTCAACCATTCGTGTGTTAGAACTATTGTTTATTACATCCCAAAAATAACATATATCTATACTTCCAAATTAACTAAAGGTTTACATCCCAACTGACATGTATCATCAACTAAAGGTTTACATCCCCATGACATATATCTATACTTCCAAATCAACCATTCCAACATGGCAACGGGATGAGATTTTCCAACTCCCGGCGCTGGCTTTTAAAGAGCGCCTCGCCTCACGTGGGATGGGAGAATCCAGTGGACGCCTCACAAGTCTCAGACAAAACAGCGCCATTGTTTCGGTTGGACGAAGCAATTTTTTTTGGCTGGTGAAACACATTACCCTCTGGTAAACTAACATAGCTATGGAAAATGGTCCATTTATAGATGGTTTACCTATTAAAAATGGTGATTAGCCATAGTTATGTTAGTTTACCAGAGGGTAAATATGCGTGATTACGTATCTATATACTATATAGCATCATATCATCACATGAAATCTCCCCTTTACATCCTGGTAAAATGATATTCTACATCCTTTAAATTGTTGATTCAGCCCCCAACCTCTGGGGAATTCCCACAACTAGCCCATATTCCATTGCCTAGGTGATTCTTCAATGAATACCCTCTTGTAATTTAACGTAGCAAACTGGAACATCACCATTGTTACCAACAGTATTTTTATCATCATGATTCATCTATTTTCATGGGGACATGGCCTCCATAGCTATGTTAAACAATGGAGATTCCCATGAAGTGGATTAGAATCACATTCAATCCCATTATACACCCATTGAATCATATTGAATACCCATGAATAATCAAAGGGTAACCATCAGATGACCAGAATCCAAGAGTAACTGCTTTTACATGGTTTTACCACATCAGAAATCCCCTGAAAACTCACCATATGGGTGGTCAAAATTAAAGACCTGGGGGCCACAGATTTTATTTAGTCTATTTTCAGTATTCACAATCTAATTGTTGGGGTGCACAATTTTGAGCCATACCCATATTTTTCTTGGTTGCAGCGTGCAGGATCAGCTCCAACGCCTCCATCAGCGCCTGCGAAAAGGCTCAACGCTGGCGTGAGGCAGCGGAAATCTTCGCGGCTGCCAGCGCTGGAGGAGGTGCTGGGGGAGGTGATGGGGGTGAAGGGAACTCAGTGATGCAAAGCCACAGGTCAGTGGATTGGTTTGTTGCGGAAAATCTTCACCGGAAACCATTGATTTTCCCATGAAGATCATGAGGCTTTCTTGTAAATGTTCCGTTAAACCAATCCATGGAATAGGGACTGTTACGGGGGAATAAGCCAAGCTGGTGCACCCTATCTAAGTTGGTTTATAAATACGTAGTATTTCACTAGGATTTTATGGCAGTTTGAACTATGGTTAATGGTATTTGTAAACTCACTTAGAACTGGGGGGGCACCACCTTGTAGGGGTTATTGCTGGGGAATATTCTTCTTCTTGAGAAGGTTGATGCCAATTGTTGATGGTTGATTATTCTCATTTATGGTTTATACTTGCCAAAGCCTGGTTGATTATTGTGATTTGATGGTGATTTTGTCATCATTTAGTTTTGGATTTGAACCATCAGTCATATTTGGAAATATTGTATTTGATAAATGATGGTTGATCAGCTATTATTATTCTTATTATATCTATACACATTATTCTTACTCTTATTATTCCAGGGGCTTGTAATATCTTGAATGATGTGAAAAGGGTAATGTTCAGTCGCGATATGAATAGGGTTTTATGTGACTCAGGATTGGTAAACACCGAGTGTAGGGGCCCAGGGGGTTCCCAATTGCAATCTCATTTTACTTCTACTGTGGGCAAGATGGTGCCCCCGTTCGATAGCTCAGTTGGTGAACATAACTCCAATAAATATGGTTTTTGTTGGTGATATATCGAACTAGTTAATGGGATTATAAACCAACTTATAACTTGGGGGGCACCACCTTGGGAAAATGTCCTGGAGATTTTCATCAGAGCTTTGATGAATCCGGAGTTGACTAATTAATGTGGGGATGGGTCAAGACCTCTGATGGCCATATTTGGGGGAATAAACATCCAGCTATACCAGCTATGTTCAGGTACCATCCGGACACACGGGTTTTGACCCATAGCCTCTGGCAGTTTAACATATAATCCATTAATCATCCCATGAATCCATTGTCATCCCACTATCCCCATTAAATTTCCAGCCGATTATGCCCCAGGTTGACATTAATGTAGCTGAAGATCCAGCCCAGTTATAGATAATGGCTATAGATCTAAATTATAGTTACACTATATGAATTCTGGTTACCAACTATAGTGTTAATTAGAATTTATAGTTGTTACAGTTGTTACACCAAATTTTGGAGATGCCAACTATAGTTCACCAGTTAATAGTTATTTTCTTCCAGCCCATTCATTTGTGGCTTAGACATCTCCCGTTTCTTTTTGTTGTCAGGGCGTTGTAGTTTCATCAGCTTCAACGCATGCATCAGCGCCTGTGGCAATGGCAAGATGTGGCGCAAGGTTGGTCTGATCCGGGTGAAATTGCGGTTTTATCTCGGATTTCGGGGGAATACTCATAAAACCATATATTATATATATATACACCTACATACAGTAATATGTTGTGTTAGTAATCATAGTTGTGTAACCCATATGTATTGGGTGGAATACTAATACTATATACTATAACCCACTTAGTAACTGGTTAGGAATCGTAGTTATAACCCATTTATATATATATATAGGATAAGCAATTCAAGGGACTTACTATCGAGGCTTATTAACCAGTTCTGATTCGTGGGATAAACATCTATAAAGGATGAGGGAAATCACATGGAAGATATACATGTATATATAATGCGGATATAATGGGATATTTTATGCGATATCCAAGCACCTATATGAGATTTGGGTGTGTCTGAAAAGGGGGTATACCTCCAAAAGGCCGAAGAAATATGAAATAAGAGGGAAAATAAGGTCGGAAACCAAATTGGGACAGCTATCCTTTTTCAGACCCAATGAACAATCAGTTCTTTACCATCAAGATGCAGGGGGTACCTCATGCAGCCTGATGGTATTCCACGGTAACGGAAGATCCTTGGCAGATCATTGACCTACTGAAACGGGGATTGTCCATTGTCAGGTTTGTTTACTGGAAGCTTCACGTATCCTCTTTTCGGTGGTTTTCATACGGGAAGCTTCGGGCCCCCAACACCTGAAAGCAGATCAGTGGTTCCATTGGTTATCCCATGGTATAAATACGTATACCCTCTGGTTATGTCAAAATAGCTATTGAACATGGTGATTTATAGTGGATTTACCCATTGAAAATGGTGATTTTCCATAGTTATGTGGCTGTTTACCAGAGGGTAAATGGGGTACAACTATGGTTGCTAACCAGCTATATATTAAGTGGGACTGGAATTGGCTCCGTTCTTACGGTCCAAATTTCAGACACACGTTACCCGAGGATGTTGGTTCTTTGGTATCATCTTTTCGAGGTTGCCCCACCCCAGAAATCAAAGTTTGGCAATGGGACATCCTTTAGAAATTGAGGTTTTGATCGGAAAAACATCTACCCTCTGGTAAACTAACAATTTGCTATTGAAAATGACCATAGAAATCGTGGATTTACCCATTGAAAATGGTGATTTTCCACAGTTATGTTAGTTTGCCAGAGGGTATAAGTAGGGATTTTCCATTACCATGTTTGAAGAGGGTAATTTTGTTTATGCACCAGTCTTGTTTTCACTATTTCCAATCCATATTGGTACTCAGTAGATGGTTTAGCACAATTTTCAATCCTTATATCCGGCGATTTTGATACACACCCAACTATGACATTGTACATACAGGTCAAATATTGTCCCATTATGTCATTTTATAGCCATATCATACAGGATGGGGCCCCCCAGTTATAAGTTTGTTGATAACCCATGAAATAATCCCCATTAACTAGTTCGTTATATCAGTTATATCTACCATAAACCATTGAATTCAGCCACTTTTTTCAACCAACTGAACGCTATCGACTGGGGGCCCCATCCTGTATATACCCACCTTACCTTCACCTGCCCTGAGTCTCACCATGTCCTATCCGAGCTCTTCTTTCATGGCCTGAAGAGCACTGTGGGGAAACTCAGCGGCGCCATGAAGACTCAAATTATCCTGGCTCTGGAGACCCCAAACAGTGTGGGGGAGCGGGACGATAATGTATGATAATGTATGATAATGTATGATAATGTATGATAATGTATGATAATGTATGATAATGTATGATAATGTATGGTAATGTATGATAATGTTGTTGTTGATGATGATGATGATGATGAGGATGGCATTCGAAGTCAAGCAGTTCCATTCTGTTTTTCATTTGCAGATATTGTCCAAGTCCATGATTTCCGATGATTTTTCCTGTTGGTTTTTGAATCTTCGATTGCCATCTTTGCCCTGTCGGCTCAGCAAGCTGTTGATACTGCTATCATTTGGGCCACGAATATATCCCTGAAATCACTATAAATGGGTCGTATAAACCATCCCCAAATGGTAGGTCTATTTATTGGGTGACCATATTAGTATCATTTAGTGTCTGTAGTTGCGGTCATGTCTATGGCAGCTGGAATTTTCCCTCCAGCTTGGATGTTGTATCAAGCATTTGACGCAGAAACATGTTCTGAGAAAATACCACTGGCAAGACTGTGCAAGAGCCGTTTCCGCGTGCTTGCCCGCCCATGATCAAAGAGATCTACATGATGTCTGATGAAGTGGCAACCCAAATGCTTCAACTTTTCCAAACTGGAAATAGTGGCTGCATTTCGGTTTTCTCTTGATCAGACATGGTGTGGTCCCGTTCTGAACTGGGTTTTCGCCATGGGATATTGCAACGAGTTGTTTCCTGGGTTCACTCGTCATGATTGGAGCCCACCATGACGAGGGTACCTGGAAAACAACATGATCGGATTCTGAACCAGACCGTTGAGAAACGAAACTCGCGTTGGTGATGTTCTTTGGAGGCACGGTGTGATTGAGTTTTTCTGCAAGTTTGTCCTGGAAAGTGGAAGGCTCTCCAAGTAGGATTGGACTCAGAACTCCAAGACCAAGGTTCTTGGAGAGTCTTCCATTTTCGCCTACAGAATCGAGTGTACGCTTCCCAGTCCAAGGCCATGCGGGCGCTAACTCTTTGATCGGGGCGTGTCGTGTCGTGTGTGGAGGATTCATGAGGATTCTGCTTCAGCACTTGATGCAGATCATTGGTGTCTTGAGCTAGTGAGCCAGATGGTTGATCTGAACATAGGAATACCTATCAAAATAAAAATCAGAATCAGCCATGGTGTCTTGATCATACTCTAACCATGGCTGATTTTGAATTTTCTTTTGCTAGTAACCTACGTGATGAACCAGATGCAAACTGTTTCAATGCCTTTGATTCAGCTCTCAGTCCGCCATGAATTACCTCTCAGTCCTGCTCATGGCCCCAAAGTTCAATGGCGACTGACTGGCAGTTTTTTTGGGAAGATATTGTCCTCCGTATCTACAAGCAGGTTGGCCCAAGCCGTTAGGGTCATCCCGCGTATAGCTGGATTGACCCAGTGGTCTTTCCAATGGCTTCTACCCATTTGCTACGTGGCCTGTGGCAATCCCTGGTGATGACTACTCCACTGGTGATAGATATGACCAGATGCAGTTCGGATTGGGGTCAATTGCTGAGATCGAGACCCAGTTTTGTCTCCAGACTTGCCGAAAAAAGCGGTGGGGATGACCCAAATGCCTAGACCTAGGAGGTATCTACCCTCTGGTAAACTAACATAGCTATTGAAAATGGCCATAGAAATAGTGGATTTACCCATGAAAAGTGGTGATTTTCCATCGTTTTTTGTATGTTTACCAGAGGGTAACCGCATTTTTTTTGGATACCCTCCTGGCAATCACACATAGCAATGGGAAGTCAGTGGAATCTGAAGCCAGCCACATTGGATTCCAAGATCTAAGATCCGCGAAGAGTCATAGTTGGCCCAGCTCCAACACAGCTTGCCCCGGTGTATCATCAATTCTTCAGATTAATTTACTGAGATCCCCTGAAGGGTTGTATCACCAGTTTGTATGGCGACTACCCCAAGTTTTGGTGTTCGAAATCAGCACTTGAATTTGATCCTTGGTTTTCAACCCATCATAAACCCATCATAAACCCATCATAAACCCATCATAAACCCATCATAAACCCATCATAAACCCATCATAAACCCATCATAATGTATTCCCCTCCTTTGCGGATGTGTTCCCTCATTTCTGGGTGCTGTTTTTCATCACCACCCCAAAACCGCAGTCGCACTGAGAGCACTGGGTGATGGGGTTCGTCCCCAATTCCTGAAGCTATCCCGCTTAGAAATATGGTTAAACCATCAATATTTATTGCCCACTTCCTGATCATCGTTAACAATGTTAAATCATGGTGGAATCCAAACATAACAATATAAATGAAGTTAAATGATGTTAAATGGATTCCACCATGATTTAGCATGTGTTTGTTAAACCATGTTAAATCCAAACATATTTAACGGCTACACCCCAGCGACTCGCTGGGCAAGAACATCAAGGTACGATGGAATCAGCGAATCTTCACCATCTATGGTTGGGGTCAAAGTTTTTGGGCTTCGTTCGATCGTCAGAGGGCCCTCGGGATATTGGTGTTTTGTTAGTGGGCCCTCTATGGAGAGAATATGATCATGTCAGAGATATTGAGGATGTAACTGTGCTATTTTTTGTCTGTGTTTCAGTGTGATTATCATGGGATTGTCCAACTATGTCCAACTAATATTGGGGATTTCAGAAACGGTATCTGCTGTAGTAATCCATGATATTATGTCAGACTGTAATCACTTTATATTATATGTATCCCATGAAATATTCCCATCTTTCTTGAGTTGATACCCCCAAATTTTGTCAGTGACATCAGCATGTATGACCATTGTACCCTCAGGTTATCTAACATAGCCATGGAAAATGGATGAACATGGCCCATTTAGTTCGATGATCTACCTATATACTAAAGATATCTAAAGATGGTGATTTCCATATTATGTTAAATAACCAAAGGTTAACAGAGTTACTTCAATCCAATCCACCGTTGGTTGATGATTATATGAGATTATATCCAATATCTTAATCCATGAAATGGAAATTCATTCTTAAGCATGAATTATGGTGATGACTTATTGGGATAGTTCATGGGCAACAATGGTTACAGTAATTGTTGGATTCATGGTTAAGCCATTATATTGGGCATGATTATGGTGATAGTTAATCCTGATGAACTACTACAAATCACTATAATCATCCCAGAATCACTATATATAATCGTCCCATTCACTATTGGATCAATAGTCCATGAATCCCGATGATTATAGTGATTCTAATTAACATCATATACCAAGATATCATAGTAATACAACCTAACCCATGATCATCTCAATGTTAACAGTTAGTTTACAATAGCCAAGATTCCTATCAATATATTATGGCTATTATATTGGATTCTGGGATAACAATCACTAATTCTAGTCCCATAATCCCATAATCCCACAATCACTAATCTCATAGTGATCTAAACTGTAGTAGATTCATGATATATAGATCTATAGATTCATGATGAACCATTATTATTGTTATTCTGATTACTATTATTACCACTAATTAACAACTATAATCACTAATGGAATATATGGGATTTTATGGGTTTTAATGGGATAAACACATCCACTTAATGGAATATATATATATACCTATATATAGATATAGATTCATGATGAATCATTATTATTATTATATAACAACTATAATCACATATAATCACTATATGTCACTATGATAAGCCCATCCCATGCCATGATCATCCCATGGGCTTCGGTGAGGTCGTCAGCTTCAACGCCGCGCTGGCGCCGCTAAGCTGGCGCCGCAGCGTGGCGCTGCTGCGGGACCTCACGCGGCGCGCGCTGCGCAGGACGCAGGTCACGTTGAACACGGCGCTGTCCACGGCGTGACGCGGTGATGTTTCAGGGGATGGGGTGTGTTTGGGGAAGGTTTGGAAACATGTTTTAAAGATCCATAATATATATATAATATTATATCATACATAATATATATATAATACATCTATAGATATAGATTCTAGATTTTATACCTTGTATGGGTATCTATGTGTATCTATTGTCTACCTGTGGCGATGAAAAACATTGTTTTGGATGGATCCAACATGGAGATTTCAACATCTTTGGAGGTCTCAGCAAGAAGGGCTTCGCAGCTACGAATGGCTGACCCAAAAAACATGATGAACACTTGGAAAATGACGAGGCAACCAACCCTTTGCAACATTTTTTTTCAGGAAAACACCTTTTTTTACTTGGTGGTTCATCGAAGTTCATCCCACTTCGTAAATATTTGTTTCGTCCTGGTTTCAATGGGCAAAGTAGGGCAATCGCCCGCTGAAATCGCCGGGGTTCTAACCCACTTTGGTGGATGAACCACCAAGCAGGTCCCCCCAATACTGGTTGGTGACCGGCAAACGTCTCACGTGCGACGGTGACCCTTCGTTCGCTAAGTTGGTTGTAATCAGTGGTTTAGATGATTGGACGTACGTAGAAATATCATGATATCTCGAACTATTTTAGTGAATAAATTAAAGATACCCTCTGGTTATGACATTCACAGTTTGCCATGGAAATTCACAGTTTGCCATGGAAATTCCACCATTTTTAAAGTTCGGTAAACCATCTATTTCGATTAGGGCCATGGCTTTACCATGGCTATGTTAGTCATAACCAGAGGGTAACTACACGTTTAACTAGGGGGTTAGCTAGCCTGCCTTGCCATCGCTTCCTCCCTGAGGCGGTGGCAAGATGTTCTTGCGCTGTTGGAGAGCAGAGACGAGATGCAGCCGGATGTGATTCTCGGCGCGACGCGATGAACACCTGCAGAACGGTGGCGAACTACCCACGGCGAGTTGATGTGGGTTAGTTCACCACAGTGATTGATGTGGATTAACCCTAGTTATCCCATTTATAACTGGGGTAGAATACCCACTTACTAACTGGGATGAGCCACCAAGTGCAGAACCATCGCGAAGCGACGCGATGAATCGCTGGGGGGTTTTCTACCGGTGGCACTTTTGCGGCTAAGGATCACCTTCAATGCATCTCTGAGTGCCAGCGAAAAGGGCCAGCAATGGAAGATGGCGCTGCAGTTGCTGGATGAGATCCACCTGGCAGGCAAAGTTAGGATTCGCTGGGTGGGTTGTAACCCCTGAGAACTGGTAGTGTATGTCATTGGTAAACTGGTTGGTGGTTTGGAACTTGTTTTATTTTTCCATATATTGGGAATAATCATCCCAACTGACTTTCATATTTTTCGGAGGAGTAGGTCAACCACCAACCAGTAAATGGCTTGCAACTTCTATTGCAAGTCTTCCAAGCAGATTTTTCGACTGGAGGTAACCGAGTGGAAGTGGCAGATTTTGGGACGGTCGTTGGCAGGGAATCCACAGGAGGTGTGTCCCTGAAGCAACTTGACCCATCCCAATCGTTGGTTCATAATCTCCCGACGACTCGGGAGAGGGAGATACCAGAGTTGGGTCATGGGTATCATGGTACTGTTTTCTCATCCCTTTAGTTGGAATTCATGATACAACATGATATAACCATATATAACCCCTATCACTCTGGTTATAGAACCGTAGGAACTGCACCCCCAAGTGTAGCAAGTGTAGTCATAATACCCTCTGCTAATCAAACGTGGCGGTGGAAAATCGTCCCCTTTGGTTTGATATGTTTTTCCCATTGGAATTTCCAATTTAGGAATGTTTGATTAACGGAGGTATCCCATCTTTGGTGAGGGAACCGGGTTTGGCTTGGAAAAAAGCCTGGCGATGGTTCTTGGATGCGGTTGTTTGATATCTCAAAATATAGTGGTTTATGTAGTATGTTATTTTGTTTTTTTTATCCCTGAATGAATGGGATTCGAATGGGATTAGGACGGGATTATATATAATGGGTAAACCAAGACATGGTTGGTATTGTGATTGGATGGATTAAAATCTATACAATACCAGATTTGCGGTTTGCGGGCAATTTACCAGCTCCTTTGGTGAAAAGAAGGGTGCTGGGGCACTGACCCACAGCTGTAAGAATCTTCCAACGATTGGAGCTTTCCCATGTATCCTTGATTCTGCACTTTGGGCGACATAGAATGCCCAAAAGGTGTATCCCATTTCTCAATATTTTGGGATACACCATACCAACCATTTCTTGGTTTACCCATTAATCAACATATATCAACATATTAACCATATGTTGCTGCAAGCAAGCGATCGCCAGAATTCGCCAGGTAGCCAAAGGAATGTGATCACCTACAATGCAGCTATCAGTGCCGCAGAGAAGGCCCAGGACATGCAAAGCCATCGATGCTGACTTTCAAAGTTGTTGTTACGGGAACTGTTGTCGTCAGCACAATAAAAATCGCCATCACCACCACCATCATCACCACCAGAATTAGTCATAATGGCCATAAATCATCATAACCACCATAGATCAAGACCAACATTTGTACACTAGGATACGTACACTATAGGATTTGTACATATCCATATAATCTGGGTAAATTATAACGACCTCACTGTCCTCCCTCACTGGAATCATGGTTAATAAGAGGAGTCATCCCAAAATGGCCTTAATTCAGGTTAGTGAAATATTATAATTTACCCAGATCATTGATCGTCTATAGTTAATGACAGTTAATCGGTAATTTGGGTAAAATGTTAATAGTTATTTTTCTATCATTGATCGTTTATAGTTAATCTGGTTGGTGGTTTGGAACATTTTTATTTTCCACGATATATGGGATAATCCTTCCCATTGACTTTCATATTTTTCAAGATGGTTATTGCACCACCAACCAGAAGGGGATGATTCAGGTTAATTGACCCAGATATACCCTCTGGTAATTTAACGTTGCTCTTGAACATGGCCCAGTCGAAATAGTTGATTTACCCATTTAAAATGGTGGATTTTCCATCGTTTTTTGTATGTTTACCAGAGGGTCATGGCCATAAATCTATAGACCTCGGGACCTCGGAGAAAGGACTGGCCCACGGCTCTGGCCTTGCTCGAGGACACGGCAGGGCCAGGTTTTGGTGGGGTATGGTCCAGCGGTGGTGGATGGAAACAGCGGAAATCATGGAAACACGTGGAAACAAATGTGGGATAAATATTACCTATCCATAGGGATGTTAATGGGGTTTAATGGGGTTAGTTAGGGATATGATCATGATTTTTAATGGGATTTGATGGGGGTTAATGGGATTGTAATCCTTTTATTGGAATATACCCTCTGGTTATTGTTAACAGTTTGCTATTGAAGCCATGGCCCAGTCGAAATAGTGAATTTTCCCATTAAACATTATGATTCTCCATAGTTATGTTAAATTACCAGAGGGTAACCCACAGAAAAATGGTGATTCACCAGCAAGCAAAAAAAAATATGTGGATTTAAAGCCCAACTCTGGGAAAAAGATGATTTTGAGGCAAGTATGGAGATTTGAACCGCTACAAGGATAGCTTTGAGAGAATTCTAGAGGGTCGAAACCAAGATCAGAACATGCATGAACCGTTCTAACTACGGGCTCTTTGCTGCATCTGTGGAGGGGTCTCCAATTCCGCCATGGAGATGTCATCCCTGGAGCTTTACTCATCCCCGGGCTGCCCTTGAGTTTTTTCACGGTCGGCATTTGCAATGGGGTTGCCATTGCCACGTTACTGTTCACGAAAGAGGTTCAGATTTTTTGGCACCTGAGATTTTTCACATCCAACTCACCATGTAGGATGCTTTTGCCCAACACCATACCAAAGTCATGTGAGTAAAGCAATGCCAATTGCCCCAGGCATATGGATCGATGGTTTCTACCACCGGGAATTGTGGATCCTATTAGGTTTACCCACATCAGCCACAGGGCCGTAGGATGCCGTAGCTCCGTGATGGTCGGCTCCGTAGGAAGTGAACGCCTTGCGCTGGGCGGATCTGATCAGTTACAATGCGGTCATCAGCGCCTGTGATGCTCGCCCTGAGATGCCTCTGATACGTCGCCGTGTGATGCCTCGATTTTTTGGGCAAAACTTGGATGGGTCGTGTTTAGGTTTAACATAGCTATTGAAAATGGCCATTTACAGTGGATTTACCAATTAAAAATGGTGATTTTCCATAGTTATGTTAGTTTACCAGAAGGTACTTCTGGTTGGTGATTTGGAACATGGCTTTTATGACTTTCCATTCCTTGGGAATAATACTCCCAACTGACGAACTCCATCATTTTTCAGAGGGGTAGGGCTCAACCACCAACCAGACTCAGTACTTCACTGTATTTTTTTCGTGAAATCAATGGGAGATATATACTGACCAGCTCAAAATGTGTTTTTTTTTTCAGGGTAGGCCATGAAAGGTGGGGGGATACCCTCTGGACAAACGACCAGCATCAAATAAGGTATTTTTCCCAAGTCATCTCAAAGTTCATCCGGCATTTTCCGGCCATTTTGAAAAAACTGATCCATCACTTCTCTTGACATACCCTCTGGTTATGTTAACAGTTTGCTATTGAAGCCATGGCCCAGTCGAAATAGTTGATTTACCCATTAATAGCATGGTGATTTTCCATAGTTATGTTAAATTGCCAGAGGGTAAACCTCCATTTTCCTATGGTTTTCCTATGATTTTCCTATGGTTATACCACTAACCTGGGTGACGTTTTGTGGTTCAAAATCCCCATCTCTTTGGTGCAGAACTTGAACGAACCCATTTGAACCCAAGGAGAGACCGGGAGAATGGCGCCTGGCCCTGGCGTTACTTCATGACTTGCAGGACAAACAGCACAGATGCCTCGTGGTGGAGACGATGGGTCCCCTGGGTTCATGGAGGATGTGACTATCTGATTGGTGGTAATATCCATAAGTAATATTAACTGATTGGTGGTTGAGCCCAACCCCCTCTGAAAAATGATGGAGTGAGTTCGTCAGTTGGGATGATGGTTACCATTGATGGTTAATAGTGATGGTTAATAGTGGTTAATAGGCTATAAACCAACAACAATGGGAATATAATGGTTATAAGCCGGAGGATGGACAATAACTGGTTGGTGGTGACTGGAACATGTTTTATGACTTTCCATTCAGTTGGGAATGTCATCATCCCAACTGACTTTCACTCCATCATTTTTCAGAGGGGTTGGTTGGTATACCACCAACCAGTAAAAGATGGACGGACAGAGCAGTAGAATGGGATAGGGGTATTTTTCATGGCTCAAATGAATATGGCTCTGAAATCTCGGGGGCTTCTGGACATCAATGGGTGGTTTTCAAACCATCCCCAGTCATGGTGTTTATGGCTTTGGGTGAATCCCTACCAAGATTAGCTATGGTAAATCTATAAGCAGATTACAATCAGGTCACCATTTTTGGAATTTGTGAGGTAGCATCATCACCTACAGCGCCTGCATGAGCGTTTGTGAAAAGGCGCAGCAATGGCAGCAACCTGGCACCAAAAGGCCGCTCAGAGAGGTCCGTAGATGTGCAATTAAAGGTGCCATGGTTAGAGGTGAATTATGTGAATTACCCTGAAAAAGGAGGATGGTCATGAGATCCATTCTCATGAGGATTTATATAATACCCATTCTGTTCGGATTCCCATGTGTACCATGTAACTTGATCATGGCACATATATGCTCGAATTGCTTTAGAAACCGCAAAGCATGACAAAAATTGTGCTTCCATTGCTATCCCATCCTTAGCCATACCCCAGTTCCAGCTCTCCATTTTGATGGTCGTTTTTGTTCATTCTGACATTGGTCTATGAAGAATCTGTTTTGCGGTTTCATTTGTATGTTGGAGCCAGCTCGCCAAATAATATCGTCATATATACTTGCCACCGGAGAATGGACAATAACTGGTTGGTGGTGACTGGAACATGAATTTTATGACTTTCCATATAATGGGAATTTCATCATCCCAACTGACTTTCACTCCATCATTTTTCAGAGGGGTTGGTTGAAACCACCAACCAGATAACACTGGCTAAATCGCAGCGATTTCGACTTCAGGTTTCAGGATTGAGGGCATGGCAAAGGATATGATTATCCCAACAGACACTGGTAGACTTTTCAGAGAACCACCAACCGTTGTGTTTTTCGGAAGGAGTAGGATATAATATTGATCAATAAATAATAAATGGCGAATAACTGGTTATCCATGAATAGTAGTGACAAACTCTAGGTCTATGTTGTTTTGGAATAGGTCTTGATGCTGGCCACAAAGAATTTCGGAAAACATTGACGAGCAGATCTTTCAGAGTCGCGAGGACTAAGTGACACCACCCAATGAGCCAAATCAGTGGCTGCTAACCCCCGGTTCACCTGGCTGGTAAAATGATTTGTTCGGTTTATAGTACCCAAATTAAGATGGTTTTCTTCATAATCCATTGTGAAAATCTCTAGTAACCAACCACAGGACAGATATTACTTAATATGACTTATGGATTAAGTCATATTTGGATTATGGGTATTCTAATTTTCCAATGGATTAAATGATTATGGCTTTAAATATCCATTGGAAATCCACCATTACTTATGGATATGACTTATGAAAATCCATTGGAAAATCTTCCCGAATCATCCCATGAGGTCATCACAACGGGACACCGTCAATAGGGGACCTACGTAAGTTTCTTGCTAGACATGTTTAGTAAAAATCCGTGAATTTTGGTGGGTTGATACCCTCTGGTTATGTCAAAATAGCTATTGAAAATGGCCATAGAAATAGTGGATTTTCCCATTAAAAATGGTGATTTTCCATAGTTACGTTAGTTTACCAGAGGGTAATTGAGTTTTCAGTATCCCGTTTTTTGGAATTGGATAGAGTTGGTGGTTTTTCAGAAAATCCATTGGTTACATCAGTTAGAGCCATCCGTTTTTGTCCAGTTTTTGACCGCTTTCTGACAAGATCACCTTACGGAAGCCGTAAAAAGCCGCCAACTTTGTGCTGGTTTTAAAAAGATGCCACACAGCAGAATGTCAATCCAGATTTTTTCTGCAATAACCTGGCTATGGATCAATACCTATTAATACCATTTTTAGTGAGATGAACATCCATAAATCCCAGCTATTTTGATGTGAACTACAGGGGTACAAGGTTTTGACCCACTGCCACCTCTGTTTTGTTTATTTGGGGGGGGTGCCATTTATACCAGCAGATGATACTGTGGATGGTTGCGAAATCCTGCACCACCTTGTATGGTTGAAACCCTATAAATAATGGGATAAAACATATCAACTGGTGCAGGATTTCGCTGGCCCATCCACCGTATCACTTCTTTTTGTTCCAGGGACTCACGGATCATGGCGGATCAGCGGACACGTGGCAAGGCATGCGATGACTTTGCTGCGGGAGCTACGTTGGGACATTCCGCGCCGGCAGCGGAACGTCATCGCCTACAATGCTGCCATCACGGCGTGCCTGGGAAAGTGGACGGCCGGAACTAAGCGGGTAAACCTTGATCGAGTAGACTACTGTAATATCTGGTTGGTGGTTTGGAACATTTTTTTCTTTTTCCATCTTTTTCCATATATTGGGAATTTCAATGGAATTTCATTTTCCCAACTGACGAACTCATAGTTTTCAGAGGGGTTGGTATACCACAAACCAGATATGTTTGTAGTTATGAATATCATTAAATATATCTATACAATAACTATTTTATGATTATGTATCATAACCCTGGACTTCCAACTTTGAAGTTAAACTTAATTAGTATTTTACCAAATACGAAGGTTAAACTTGGTATTTACATTAATTCGATGTTCTTGAGGTAAACACGATGGGGCTGAGATTTGATTCGGGGTTTGAATGGACCGGTCCCCAACAGCATGGCTTTTCTCATTTGTTTAACTGCAGATTCCGGAGCTTTCATTGAAGAGACCTGGCCCTTGCCAAAGACATGATGCCCAGTGGGCGTCTCTTCCTGATCGACTTATGAATTCTCCAAATAGGTGTCTTTGAAAATAGGGGTACCACCACATTTACCCTCTGGTTATGTCAAAATAGCTATTGAAAATGACCATAGAAATAGTGGATTTATATATCCATTAAAAATGGTGATTTTCCATAGTTATGTTGATCTACCAGAGGGTAATGGTTCAGCATGATTTCCTCAACTACGCGTCCATGAATTGGGGTAAATCCACCATTTTCAGACACAGCCAAACATCGTATCAGGTGAGGAAAATCCCATCAATTTTTTCTGCACATCCAGATGATTTTCCCGTGAGATAGCTCCAATATTATACCATCATATTCCCATGATATCCCATGATATCATCACCATGGCTTGCTGGACACAAAACCATATAAATAGGTCGACGATTTCCCCAACTATAAACCTCAGCTTCTGGGGGATTGGCTACCACAACAAATGGTGACCTGTGGCCATCTCGAAATGTTGATCGCCCTAGGTGCTCAGCGGCTACTCGATGGGAGCATGTTTGGAGGATTTTTCAGGACCAGTGCGCGGTTTCGGGCCATGGTGCCGTGGTTTCGGGCTGCTTGAGCCACAGCCATACCCTGTCATCAAAGATGGCAATGAACAGACCCTCTGGTAAACGTTTACATAGCTATTGAAAATTGCCATTTATAGTGGATTTAGCCATTAAAAATGGTGATGTTCCATAGTTTTTTGTATGTTTACCAGAGGGTATCAATGGAGGTTCTACCGAGGAAATGATTTAGAAGGATTTTCCATTGCCATGTTTGATATCATGGGGTGTAATGAGACTATGACAATAATATGTTGGCTTATGGCATAACGCATGGCAAAAGGATCTACAACTCGGGGATACCATATTTTTTCACCAGATGATATGTGATTGGAAATGGCATTTGGAATAAGTTCGGACTCGAAACGAAGAGACAGATTTTGCTGTCATGAAAATGTGTCAAATTTGTTGAAGACACACTGCTTGACCGGCCAACCGCTCCGTAAATCATTGGAAGTCCTGGGAACCACCAAACGGTCATATATTAGGTATTATTATATATAGGTTGTGAAATATCTGTGAGTCTGTGACGTTACTAACCGTACATGAATCAGTTGTGGATGAAAAGGTGGTCTCCAATCTGCTTTGATGATACCCTCTGGTAAACTAACATAACTATGGAAAATCACCTTTTTTAATGGGAAAATCCATGAAACTCCACTACAAATGGCCATTTTCAATAGCTATGTTTGTTTACCAGAGGGTAATGAGTTCAGATTTGTTTCCAGGAATACTTCATGGATCAGCACCATACCTCAAATTGTTCCTGAATCCGCGCATCTATGACTCTTTTGCACACATTAGTACCTCTCCAACGGGGATTCTACTCGGAGTATGTGCTCTATTTTGGTGATCAGGAAAGAAATCCAAGGTCGCAAATGACAATCTCACTATTCATATCATGATCAGAAAATCTCGTGTCAGTGTTCAGATCATGAGAACTATCATTGCAACATATTGGATTGGTCTGAAGACAAATTGCAGGAAACCCTTTTTGATGGGGAAAAAACCCATAGGATCCATGTATGGTATATATACGCTAACATAAAGGGGGTATATTGATAGGATCCATGACACACCATATATAGCAGCACCATGGATCCGTCATGGGCCATGGTGTTCTCTAGATGTTCCCTCTCATTGCCTGTGCACGTCTAAGGTTGATTTCGGGTTGTTTGGTGCATCCCCAATTGACCCATCTCCCCATGGATGGTGAAGCATTTTCGAGGCTCTTCCATCCCTTCCAAGCCTTCCAATTATAGATGGGTCTATGAACATCCAATGTAGATAAATCCATCAATAGTCTCACCATTAGTTTAAAGCAAACTGCCGATCTATCCATTTTTGGACATCGTGTGGTGAAAATATCAATGTCCCTCCCGTTGATCATGATTTTTGCCGATTAGCATTAGCAGCTAGCACTTTTGGGTGTGCAAAAGCCATTTTCAGACAGACCCCACATATTAATATACTATGCTATCCCATGTTATATCCCGTTACACATCCCATTATGTATCCCATTCATTCCCATTCTACATCCCATGGTATGTATAATATATATATATAATTATATATATATGTATACATATGGATTTCATGAATAATCATTCCATGTTATTCCCATTATTTGGAATCTCTGGTTTTAGTTAGATCCACATCTAAATCTCGCTTAGGAGCTGGAAGCAGATGACTTCAATGGCACTGCCATCACCTTGAGCTGTGCCACTCGGACAGCGGAGAATGGGAGGATTTCCGAATTTGGATCGTACCCGGCCTGGTAAACGTTAACAAAAAACGATGGAAAGATCCACCATTTTTCATGGGAAAATTCACTACCCATAGGATCCATGTATGCTATATATGGTAACATCTACCATCAATATACCCTCAATGTTAGCATATATACCATACATGGATCCTATGGGCTATAAATGGTGATTTTCCATAGTTATGTGGCTGTTTACCGGTAATGGGGATGCTGTTTTGCTCGACTTTTCCCCAAGGGTCTATGCGCTCCAAGATTGATTGCCTCTTCCCCTTGGGTTTTGACCGTAGATATGCAGATAGCCTCAATTATTCAATGTCACTGATCATTTCCCTGAAATTCGTCATTCTCCAATAAACTGGTAGATCGGAACAACCTTGGATGCAATTCCATCCGAAAAAAAGCGAATGAATTCTCGGCCCCAGAATTCTCAGGATGTACCCTTTGGTAATTCAACATAGCTATAGATGGCCCATAGAAATACATTGATTTACCTATTACACCTATTACAAATTGTGATTTTCCATGTAGCTTTTTGTATGTTTACCAGAGGGTTCTCACCCGACGAAGTCAGGTGATGGACGCAGTGGAAGCCTCCGGTGGTACCTTGGGAGCCGGTGCTCGAGCCCCAGAGCTGCTGAGCGCGCTGCAATGGCAGGGCCTGCGGCGAATTTCGCAGGTGAATTTCGCGACAAAAAATGTCAGTTTTTCGCTAAGGAAAAACATGGCTAGCTGGGAAATCCCCGAACTAAATGGAGGTATATTAATCTGGGTAAATTATAACGACCTCACTGTCCTCCCTCACTGGAAATCATGGTTAGATTGCGGGAAATTATCCCCAAATGGCCACAAGATTCAGGGTAATGAAATATTATAATTTACCCAGATTAATGGACTATAAATGGAGATGGTAATTTATGATATTTATGGGGAAATATGACCGTCTTACCATGATTTCATGGGACCTTGGTGGGACTTGCTGGGTAGATTTGGGATGACAATTTCTCCACGGGCAGATAGTTAAATTTGGATGAGAATTTGCATGAATTTATCAATAATTGGGTATATAACTCCATTGTTAGGGGTCATGTTGACCCCCAGTTTATAACATATATAATGGGGGGGGGCAGGGTACCAATGTCAATAGTTATTTAGACAACTATTTTGGGGGTAACCTGCCCAATGAATAGTCAGGGTTTATTAGTCCGCGGTTGACATTAGATTGGGATGATCATTTATCAATAGTTGGGAATTAGAGATGGTATTAGTCTGGGTTGATAGGAGGTAGATTGGGATGAAATGGCATGTGTTGATGGTCATGATCGTTTCAAGATAGGTCTAGGTATTTCTTTGGTGGTATATTTGATATTATTTGATGGCTAGTAGATTAGGGTTTTATTCCTCTACATTTTCCTTTTGATAGGGTGATACTTGGATGTACCTGCGATGGTCCCTGAAATTCCGTGAAACTAGTTCCAGTATATTCCAGTTACCCGGCCTGGTAAACATAGAAAAAGCTATTGAAGCCATGGCCCAGTCGAAATAGTGGATTTACCCATTAAACTTGGTGATTTTCCATGGTTTTTTGTTAACGTTTACCAGGCCGGGTAACTGGGGACCGAACAGCGCTGATTCACCATGAATTCATCTCGATCGTCTGGATAGCGAAGCAATTGGACCAGATGCTGTTGCCAAAGGCAGAGGATGGTCACAATGTGGCGCTACTTCAACGTTATGTTTGTTGGTGCCAATAACCCCATGTAACATCATTTAACTATGGTTATAACTACCATAAACCCTAGTTGTTGTGGTTATAAACCAACTCAGCTATCTTGGGGGCCCCACATTGCATGGTAATATGAGTCATATAATTGAACTATGTTTTGGGGATGCGACCAAACAAGATTGGAACATTAGCAAGCATGGCATGATGATGATGATGATGCTGATGCTGATGATGATGATGATGATGATGATGATGATTGGGACGACAAAACCAGAACAGCCCGCTGCAAATACTCTGGATGTCGCATTGCAACAAGAGCAATAGACTCATAGCTGTTGTGGAACCTAGCCTTGCACTTATCTTAACTACCTACCACAGCTATATGGGATCACACCCATCGTGCCACAATGAAGGACACAACCAGCAAATGGGTAACAGTGTAATCAACTCTTAATCAACTGTATAGCAAAAGGTCCCAAAAAGAAAGTCAAGTGAAATCCTACTACAGTAAACTAGTAGTAAATCATGATTCTAATTCTATCTTTTTGGGGTTACTCAAAAACTAATGCCGTATACAGAACCAGCAACAAGTGATATATAACCCGCATTTCTCCCAACACCTGACGGGTGTGCCCGGCTCGACTCGTCACCATGGCAACACCAATCCGCAGTGAAGTCCATGCCAGGAAGCCGGGGGCAGGGAAGCCAGTATTTGATCATGTGTGCTATTTTAGGGCTATTTTATTAAATATATAATATATAATAATATATATATATATATATATACATACTGTATATATATATACATATGTATATATATATATATATACATAAATATATACATACATACATGTAAAAAACAAGCACATATGATTTCTGGGTTGGGGGTGCCTTAAGATGGGGCAATGCCACCACGGAACACAAGCCATTTTACTATATTTTAATGGCAAAAAGGACAATTCATCAGTGGATGGAACGGGGTACCCTACTACTTTGAGACAAACCCAAATCATAATAAATCCCCTTAAGGAACCATTAAGTCACCATTAAGTCACCATTAAAAAATAGTTGATATGGGTGAGTAACAGCTTTATTGCTGGTTTTCAGCCCACCAAGCTCGGAATATCAATGATATCAACATCAACCAACTGAAATTGAAAATGGGGAAAGAAGTGGTGAAATACCCAAGATGTTTTTGATTCTTCACCTATTGATTCCAGGTTGGACTTCTCCCTATTAATATTGATCTACACATTTGCAATACTTGTCCTTTTTCCCCAGTGGTTGATCTTTCATCAGAATTGGTTTTGATACCACATCATTCCGTTCTGAACGGAACTTGACTTTTCCAAAATTGCAAAATTGTCCAAGTTACCTCCAGTATACGAACATAGATATGGAACAGTCACCATTTCCAGATCACTTCCACGGAAACATGTTAGCGCTCGGATATTCCAAGCTCCCCGGACCGGGAATCAAATCGTTTGCTATGGGAAATTCCCAAAATTTAAAGATGATCTTACCCGGCCTGGTAAACGTTCACAAAAAGCTAAATTGAAGCCATGGCCCAGTCGATTTCTAGTGGATTTACCCAGCTACAACATGGTGGATCTTTCCATCGTTTTTTGGTATGTTTACCAGGCCGGGTAGCCATTCGTTTCCCTCGTCCGAGTCCATGAAGGTTGGGGACTTCCCCACTGAGTCCGCCTGCAGGACCTGCCATAAAGGCGGCGACCCAAGAGATCGATGCCTATGGCAAGAAGTGGCAATGGCAGAACGCTCTGTCCCTTGGAGATGGATGGATGGGTCGATGGGTCCGGTTGGGTCGATGGGTCCGGTTTTTGTAGATCGGAAATAGGAAAAAATCACTGTGATAATACTGGGGAATTCTGAGGATTCTTGATTTTTTTCCATAGAAATTGGACATACCGCCTAGATTCTGCAAATAGCCCAAGAAATTGGTGTAGCAAAATGATTGGGGTACTTGGAGGGTGGTAGACCTGGGGATCATCCAGATGGCCAAACGTAAACTTGTCGCAGCCGCAACGCAACGCGATCGTTGGGTGAACTTATAAAAGGTGGGTGAATTACGACAAAAACTCAGCCAGATATAGAAATAATACTGAAGAGTTCTTTGCTTGCGTGTTCAGCAAGATAGATTTGCAAGGAAACTTGTGTGTTTGAATAGCTGTTTTAAACGATAAGAATGGGGATGTTATCATCAATGATACTAGAGTATCTTTGAACCTCACACGGGGAATAGAAGCAACCAATTTCCAGATGTGGCAAAAACATTCGTCACCAGATTCTGCAGAGCTACAAGACGTGTCCAAGTAAAAACTTAGCAGGCAACAAAAACACCTGGTTGGTGGTTTGGAACATTTTTGATTTTTCCATATAATTATTGGGAATAATGATCCCAACTGACTTTCATATTTTTCAGAGGGGTAGGTATACCACCAACCAGACACAGTGTAATCATTTGGCTTCGATGATTGCATGGCACGCTAGTTTTTTTACTCCATTCTCGGACGTGCATCCTGGTTACCCCTCAGATGTTCGGCTGTAGCCATCTTGTGGCTGGACGTTTTTGGCATTGTACTGTACCATATAAGGCAATATTTTGTGGGGATATTCCCTTATATATGGTAGGTACCTCCAATCTAGGATCCTGAAATGGCCATTGATTGTAAGACAACTTTGTAGGTACCCTCTGGTAATTGAACACTTTGCTATGGAAAATGGACCATGAAAATGGATAATTTACCTATTACACATGGTCGTTTTCCATAGCTATGTTAGTTTACCAGAGGCTTAACTTCAGGTCCCTTTTAGCAGATCTCCCTGCTCAACGACTGCAAGCAACTATCGTCAGCTACGGTGCCGGCTTGAACGCCTGCGAACGTGCAGAGCAGTGGACACAGGCACCTTGAGTATGCATGAGGGATATGTATCCTATTTATATATATATATATGTATGTATTATACATTGAAATGGTCATTGTAGATTATGTTTATGATCATTCTGGTCATTATGTTCATTATGATAATTCTGGTCATTATGATCATTATGATCAATATATATATATATGTATATTGTCATGTCATGATTATGATGATTATGATGACCATGATGCTGATGATGATGAAGATGATGATCATCATATGAGTTCATTCTTATCTTCCTTTTCATTGATACCTTCTTGATTTCTGCTTATATTTACACTCAGTGCTGCAGATCCTTCAAGTTGGTGCCGGTTTATAACCACCATGGAAACTTGTATTTACAGTGACCACCCTAGTTATACTACGTACGGGTTATTATATATATATGTAATCATATTTATAGTATATATATATATATGTGGAATAACCATGAATAACTCCACTGAATGAGGACTTACTAACCAGGGCATTCCCACTTTCAGCCTGAACTGCTTTTTTTACCGCAGGCGCTATATTTGATCAAAACTCTGAAGAACCAAGCGATAGAGGTGGGCCGGCGTCCTGGTCAACATATGCAGAAGAAGAGCAGCAAAAAAGGGTAAAAGAGTGTAGTGTGTAAAGCTGGCTTCGTTTATATGTATATGTAAATGTATATGTGTATTTGTATCTTTATAAGTATAAGTGTAATGTATATGCACACATATACGTGTAGATACATCAATGTATATATATATACACATGTATGTATGAGCATATACAAACACATTAAGCTGTAGGATACCAGAGATTGATTTTGTTGAAATCAGCTGAAAACTGTTCAAACATGGCCTGTCCGCCGGACATCCATGCCCCTTTGCCGAATCGGGACATCCAATGACTGGTGATTTGAAACCATCATCCTACGGGATGGGGCCCCCAGTCGATAGCGTTCAGTTAGTTTATAAGTGGCTGAATTCAATGGTTTATGGTAGATATAACGAACTAGTTAATGGGGATTCTTGCTATGTTAAACCCAGTTTAACATTGCCAAAACCCTGGTGATTTTGTAGGTCCCACGTGGTGGGTCCATCGGGCCCCGTCTTTGTGGATTGAGTCCCCAGTTTATGGATGGTTTGCCCCATTGTTATTATTTCCCATGAAAAAAACAATCAAGTGGAAGTTCCCTTTGGTTCCAAATAAAGGAAATCTCTTTTTAGATCATTTCTTTGTATCTGTGATATTGCCAAATAGCTGGATATTAGATACGCTTAAAATCCCTTCAATGGATATTCTCCAAATAGATATGCTATTATTACTAGGTATTTCATGGTATTTCTAATATATATATATATACATATTCCTCCAATACATATATGAAATACCATGAAATACAATATATATGAGATACCCAAATAAATATTCCCAATTATATTATATACTAGATATTACCCTATATATATATATATTTCTATGATTCCCAAACCAGTTGATCTCGAAGGTGGACAGCCTGGCCTGTGGCGCCGCCATCAGTTGCTGCGGCAAGGCCTTGCAGTGGCCACACGCGCTGCGGCTGCTGGAGGACTTGGTCCTGGCACAGGCGGGAAAAACGTGGAGAAACACGTAGGGATCATGTGCTTTCAATGGGAAAAAATGGTGGGACACACATGGCAATAGGCGAAGGTGGCGGTTTAGGGAAACAAAATGCTGGGTTTTTGATGGTGTTTGAGTCAAATTTTGAGATTTGAGAAACAAACGTGGCGGCTTTAGGTGGAAAACTTGGTGATTTGACACCAAAAAAAGGCCGATTCAAGAATAGAAGAGGAAACAATGCTGGGTTTCAGCGGAAAACACGATGAAATATGCTGGTTTGACCCTAACAAATGAGCATCGAACCCGGGAAAACATGGGGTTTTCCTGGGATTTACTATAATTATTTGATTCAACCAATGAACCTATGGTGGATATAAACATGGCTTTCAGCTTCAGGTCGAAGTGAACGTGAGCGCCTGCAATGCAGCCATCACTGGCTGTGAGAAGAGCCGTTTGTGGCAAAAGGCTCTGCACCTCTTCATTCAGATCTATCAGATGAAACTGGAGCCGAAGCCTGGCGAAGAGTTGATCATGTTGATCACCGAAGTTCTGCTGACATCGATGAACTGGGCCCCAAGTTCTGAGGCATTTTTTTCTATGAGTGAAGATGCTTTTATATAGCATATCAGTATATCTTAATCAGGTTTCCGAAGTCGAATTCAGCAGGGTTATATAATGTTATATATACTGTATACATATATATATATATATTATATATTATATATATTATATACATATATATATATATTATTTATATATATATATATATATTTGCGCGAAAATTGCTAGACATTGCTGGACATATACCAGCAAATTATTTTTTCGGAGATGATCTTTGTTGAATGGGTATGGATCAAACTTGGGTATTTCCAACAATTCCATGGTTTCGGTGTTGCCCCCTTTGGTGCTCCAAATTTCGTTGGATAGCCATGGATAGCCCACATAACCAGCGCTCAAATGTGTACATTACATGGCACTTGATTATAATCATGAACCGATCATCAACCATTGCAAGCTCACGAATTTTCTTATGGGGATGCCTACTCAGTTAGCCCTTTTGTAATTGAACATAGCCATGGGAAATAATCGTCATTGAAACAATAGTCAAATCATCGAACTAGTTCTGGGCCATGGCTCCCTTAGTAACTTAGCTATGGCACAAATTTCCGGATGCTATGTCCCATTTGGATCCATTAGGTGGATTATCATTCCATTACATCCCATTAAGCACCCATTTTCAACAGCCATTAAATACTCTCAAATACCTATGATCAGTTATAGATTTATGATTATTTATAGATATTCACTCAGAAGTCGGCCAATGGGATAGATCTCCCGGTCATAAAAAAGTGGTCACTATCACTTCCTGGCCCTGCAGATGATCCCTTTCATCACTGCAGGAGATGACAAGCGAGGTTGTCCACCGCTAAAGCCAGCCAGTTGTAGAGGAAAGTGGGACTCCCGTTCCCCTGTTGACCCTGTTGTCAGTTCTATTAGACCATGTTCAAATGCTAAACCACGGGATTTCCCGTGATTCTGAACTAGTTTTTTCACCACTGTTATAAAGTTGCCGTTATGACCACAACTGAGGTAAACAAAAAAAAACATTCTCACCCAAGACTTAGGATTTGTAAATATCACTGGAGTCAAACATCCAATTACCCTCTGGTTATGTCAAAATAGCTATTGAAAATGGCCATAGAAATAGTGGATTGTCCCATGAAAAATGGTGGATCTTTCCATAGCTATGTGGCTGTTTACCAGAGGGTATAACAATTGTTCATTTTCATTGCAGGGGTTTTGACACTTGTAGACATCTCAAATTACTGGCCATGATTTCAGAAAATCCGTCGCCAAGTTTTCCTGCCAAGGAACGTGATCAGCTTCAGCGCCCTGATTAGCGCCTGTGAGAAGGGAGAGCAGTGGCAACGGGCCTTGCGCCTCGAATGGGATAGGCCATGGGTTAATGGAGGTGTAACCATCAACAGTGGTAGTTTTTACATAGGGATTTTATTGGGAGAATGATATGGTGTAGGGGTTTTCATGGGGGTGCAATCATCAAGAAATAGTGGGATTTAGTGGGAATTTCATGGGAATTTCATGGATGGTTAATGCGTTATTCAGCCATTGTTGGGATTATCCCTAGGGCTAACGTAGATGTCAAAAGACCCATGATCTATCGTTTGGAAAATGAACTACAAATGGCGGGTTTCCACATCTATGTGAGCTTACAGAAGGACAGTGGGCATTTAATGGGATTAAACATAGTTAATGACAATAATAAAAACAATAGTCAATGGAATATGCCAGAAATACTGTAGGATCTACAACAGTAGTAGCCAACTAGAATGAAGAACTGGGCAATTACCATAGGTTCTTCAGGCCATATGATGTGATCATTATCATGAGTAATTGTTTTTTCAGATGTATAATCATTCAGCCAGTGGTACCATTGATTGAAGCTGAGTGGCTATTGAACCAACGAGCAATAAACCAATGGGCTGATCAGCAAATGAGTCCTTAACCAACGGCCAATTAACCAATGAAGAATTGACAAGTCATTAACCAATGGCTCAGTATTTCGTTGTGGTTTTTGTTGAGCCATGTCTTAATGACCACTCGGGATAACCAATGGCTAATCAACCAACAAAGCCTGGTGAAGGTATCGCATAATTACCCTGAAGTGTATTAACATAGATATGGAATCCCATAATCCCATGGGAAACCAAAGGAACATGATCCATAGTTCGGGTCTTTTTGTATCCATCTTGATCTGCTGGGCAGCTAGTAAGAATCGGCTGTTGATCTGAACCAAAGGTATGACTCATTACCCATTGGGAAGGCAACATGGGTAATGAGTCATTGGTCAATTAGTCATTGTTATTGTTCGATGGACGACAATTAGATGTATAAGTGATATTTACTGCAGTGAATTACTAGAGTAACACCTAATTAGATCTACATCCCATGTGTACCATTGTAACGCTAGTTAGTCGTATTTGCATATCGTTTGTTGGATATTCTGTATTTACACCAGTTAGTAAATGTCAACACTATTTCGCTAAATTTGATGCGGAACTATTACACACTTATATGTGTAGTAATATTATATGTACTATCTATGGATTTTGTGGAGGCTTGCTTTGCGATGCGACCGAGGCTTCTACTGGAGCAGATGGAAGAACAGCAGGTCGAACGTTCCCTGGCCATCGGATTTGCAAACGGGCGACCGGTCGCAAAACGGAACCAGAAATCTTGGGGGTTTCTAAAAGGTGGAGCCCCAGTTCGGAATCGCTAAGTTGGTTTCTTTGCCTAGGTTAACTGTTGGGTTTATGGTAGATATAACTAAAACATGACTGGGTTTATAAAGCAAACATAACTGGGGGCACCACCTTGTAACATTTGTGTATGGGAAACGTGGGTTTTACCTTCCAAAATGGTGAGTTTACCATGCTTTTACCATGAGCACTTTGGATTGAAGTAATGAAATATGGAGGATTGGACCAACCATGAATATGATATTGGATATATGATTGGATCTATAACCTACTATTTGAATCTATTTGATACGGTGGGTCTGCCTGAAAATTTTTCTGTACACCTTGATCCAGGGATAGGGTCAGCTATCCGCCAGTTGGGGTTTGGTGTCGCTTAGGCAACGTGGTGACCCTGGCAGCGGCTATGAGCGCGTGCGAGGGTGCGGGGCGATGGCAGCAGGCACTTTTGGAAACCGGGAGTGAAGGTCTATTGGGATAGATATACGGACTATATAATATATGGGATATATACATATATAGGAAGATACAGCATATGATATACATTGATACCGATATATGGAAATATTATGTAAACCAGGGATAATTGGATGAATGATGCCAATGATGGGATACAGTGCAAAGTGTGTAGATGGATACTTCCCAAGTATATGGCATAAGTATTGAGGAATGTGCTTGCCATACCAATGGTGCTATGTGCGATGGCCGATGGTTTTTTAATCGTGAGACCACCAACCTTTAGGAGAGTTGGTAATTAGACCCAAATCGTATGGTTTTATCTTCTTCTTACCCTCTGGTAAACATACAAAAAGCTATTGAAAATGGCCATAGAAATAGTGGATTTACCTGATTTACCCATTGAAAATGGTGATTTTCCATAGTTATGTTAGCTTACCAGAGGGCATCAACATTGAATGTACTCCATTGCCCGACTATTGGAAAAATGATGAGCAAGTACGAGATGTTTTGTTTGGGTAGGCTACTGTATTTCAAGACAAACCAACTAGCCGTGGGGTCAAGTGATTTGATCAGATGGAAGTACTAAAGCCTTCGTTTTGGGAGGGTCAGTGATTCTGAGCCATAGCCACTATGGTTTCAAGATGTTTCTACCACTTGCGAGTGGATCACAAATGACATCTAATTAATCCAAATTTCGTTCCATCTCATTCTTAAGTCCTCAATTTCGACTATCATAATCCATGACCTTTTTTGACCAAGTTCTGTTCTTGGGCGCCTTCCAACAAGTTGTTTCATCTTTATCCACTTGTGAGGTACATATTACGCTCGACGCTTGACAGTCAATGGAAGAATTTCTGAACTTCTAATACTGTTTCTTCCACATTGGGCCGCAGTTAGACCTGTCCCGTAAAACAACTGGGGGACACTTTTGGAGGGATGGTGGAATCCCTATGACTTGAATACCCCGAATCCTTAGCTAAGTTGCTTAGTATAACTCTATATGCTGTATTTCACTTGGTTTAGGGTAATGACAACTGGTAGTGTTAGTGTGTTTTTTTAAACCAACAAGCAGAACTGGGGGGGGCACCGCCTTGCATGACCTTACAGGTCTTGGCTTTATTTGAAGAGATGGACGCGAGACAGCTGCTGCCGAACATTGTGACCCATAATGTGCTGATCAGTGCGCGGGTCAGCAGCAGCCATTGGGAAGCTGGGCCGGATTCCAGTTGATTTCAGCCCAGACTTGTTTTTTTTCGGAACCGACGACAGGACAACGGAAAAGCCCTTGGGTGGATGGTAAGATTCCAATGGTTTCCGACTTTTTTTCGTCCTTTTTTCGGTGAACGAATTGGATTCATACCCCATGACGGATCCATGGTGCTGGTATATATGCTAACATTGAGGGTATATTGATGGTAAATGTTACCATATATAGCATGCATGGATCCTATGAGTACCACTCATGATTGATATGCCGGATCCAGAAGGTCTGTTACGAAGATGATTTTTGCATTGACAGTTGCGATGTGAGTTTTGCGGAAGTGCGGAGAAGAAGTGCGGAGATCTTGGAAAATCGTTCTGCTCAGGAAGAGGCACTTGCACTCTTTGAGAGCCTCCCAAAGCAGAGGCTGGAGAGGAGATTGGACTTCGAAACCAGCTGGTTGGTGGTTTGGAACATGTTTTATTTTTACATATATTAAGAATAATCATCAACCCAAAAAATTATAAATATTATACAGAAATATTACTCCCAAAAAATCATTTATACATTTTTATACATTATTAGGAATAATCATCCCAAGTGACTAATATTTTTCAGAGGGATTGAAACCGCCAACCAGCAGTGATTTGCACCATTCGAAAAGGAGCCGGATCCATAAAGACCACCTGTGTTGATGTTTACCGATAGAGTCGGGTGACAGGTTTGACCGCCGATTGGACTTGTGGGAGAGTTGTGATATAGATAGATGACAGTCATTTTGGGAGGACTATCCATTTTTGGCTGCTTTTTCAGGCTTTCAGTGAGAGTTTTTTCTGGAGGGCCAAAATGGCCAGTCCACAGATGCTGCTCCGTGGTGGCCTTCATTTGCTTTGTGGGCGACCCAAGTTTGAGCCCTTGCGCATGTTCCCAAGACTGTAGATGACTGTATATAGTCCATGTGAGTCTTCTAAATTGGAGACATGTTGCGCATTTCACAGAGTGTGGCCTATCGGTCTCCAATCCTCGCCGCAGGAACGTGATCAGCTATGGAGCGGCAATGTCTGCATGCGAAAGAGCCGAAGAATGGCAGCTGGCTCTGAGTTTGTTGGATGAGCTTCACACTTCCAAACTCCGAGGCAGGGGGTCCATGAGTTGAGATCCCGAGATCCGCTGGGGAAATCTCTGGCGAATGGTTTGCAAGAAGTTTTGTTTTGGAGTCCATGCGAAAGTGGTGCAGAGAGAGATGTTACCAGAATTTTCTGAAGGTTTCTGACTTTTGAGTTTTTCTGTCTACTTCCACTTCAAAAGCAGCGACAGTCTCCAAAAGAAATTGAGTGGAGTCACAACCATGACCACCTCACTTCAAAGAAAAACACGGTTTCACCCAGATGTTCCCAGCAGTTGATTGGAGCCACACATTGACCAAGCAGATTTTGACCTGCACCAGGCAACTTGGTCACGTATAACACATGCATCAGCGCCTGTGAGAAAGCAGGGGAATGGGAAGCGGCTCTTGGATTGTTTCAAGAGATCTTGGAACATTTGCAGGCAGATCTTGCTGGGAAGGGGTGATTTATGGTGAGTTATGAATGACTTATGGTGATTTATGATTTTATGGTGATTTTATTTTATTCTTGTGTGAAAAAAAATTATAGTGTCATTCTTGCAGCTGGAAAGTCAGTCTTATTCAGGTTGCAAGGTGGGTTCTTATTGTGGAAAGCTGCTCGAATGTCTAAACTCGCAGTCCTTTCCGGTAGCTATCACCATCTTGGGTCTAGAGTCTAGTCAATGGGAATTTCAGGATCCTAAAATGGAGGTACTGTACCATATAAGGCCATATTTTGGGGGAATATTCCCTTACATAGGCCTTACATATGCCTTATATATGGTAGGTACCTCCAATTTAGGTTCCTGGAATGGCCATTGATCTAGCCCATTCATTGGGCTTTTTCTTGGCCAGAATGCAGCCACCAGGCAGACGTGATCAGCTATAGCTCAGCGACAAGTGCCTGCGAAAAGGCCTCGCAATGGGAAAGAACCTTGGATGAAATTCTGGGCATCTACCCTCTGGTAAACAGCCATATAACTATGGAAAATCACAATTTTTAATGGGAAAATCCACTATAAATAGTCATTTTCAATAGCTACGTTAAATTACCAGAGGGTATATACCAACCACAACGGGTGGCTCCGGGGTCTTTTTCGTGGCTCATCTGAAGTTGTTCCTCAACGATATAACATGATATAACAATCTCCCAGCATGTTTGTTTTCCTCCATGGCTGTTTCGGGGAGAATTTTACAGGATACCGCCATATTTGAAGGTCAAAAACCACGGAAGTTTCCGATTTCGAGTTTCCCTTCAGCCAGAACCCAGGAGCTGTGGAACTCTTCAGACACCTTCGCCTTTACTCGCTGCAAGAGAACGTGCTGTGGCATCAATGCGTAGGAACCGTTGGGATGGATGATGGTTCATTAATACCGGTTTCAAGGCCTGTTGAACTGGTATTTAACCATGGGGTTTGTAAGGAATATATGATACAACAATGATATGTACAATAAGTATTTACTACAAGCCTTTTTGTAACAAAATATGTAGATGATGCCCCCCAAAGAGTTTGTTTATGAAAATTTATTTATAACATATATGTTCCCAATTTTCCCAGTTGCAACAAACCTCATCTGTGGCTGGTAACATCTCCATTTCTATCCAGCTTTATGTCGGTTGCTTCAAATCGCCACTTTGCTGCGAAGTATTCCTTTCAAAACAACCGGTGAGTAATGGCTGCGATCTAGCCCTGCTGGTTGATAATTAGTTGGGGGATGAAAATCTAGTACTACCTTTCATATATTGGAGATTATAAGAAAATAGAATAGTAATAGTAAATATTGGGGATTATACTATTACGCTCATAGCTATTGATTAATAATCCTGGTTGGCTATAAGAATCCGCTCGAGCGGGGAATTCCCCACAAACCAACCAGGATTCAACGGAATGACAGAGGTCGTCATGGTAAACCGCATCGTTGACTCCCGATTCAACTGGCCACACATTGGAAAAGAGAACAGCATCTGAACCATCCAGACAATATCCAGAGCCAAGAAACAACATGAAACAACCATAAACAACCATTAACAACCATTAAAACGGATATGTATGGTTTATAATGGTTGTTTATTTACATTTTATAAATGGTCCTATTATAGAATCATATACAATGGATTCATAACGCGTAAATTTGATATGAACCATTATTTCAATCCATTATTTCATGGTTTCCATCCCCAGCTCAACCACCCAGACCCCAGGGACCCCAGGGACCCCGTTGGACCCCCTTGAGGTGATCACATGCAACGCTGTGATCAGCGCCTGTGGAAAGGCCGGGCGTTGGCAGATGGCCTGGGAAGTGCTGCAAGCTGCTGGGACGAGGAGGGTCAGTCAAGGCGAACAGAGAAGATAACTGGGATATTGGATTATGGTGGATTATATATACCTGGAGAACCAAAACCCTAAGAATTCTTTGGGTTAACGCAAGAACAATATATTATAATGGATATGAATGGATATGAATGGATATGAATGGATATGAACAATATATTATAATCTATATTTATGATATATATGATTAATATTATTTTTGTACTGTATCTATGTAATCATTCTGAAGTAGATAGAATATCACACGCGCCCGTAATATTCGCATGTTCGAGAGGATTTGTTGACATATCCATGACCATGTATGGTGATGACTAAATATGGTGATTGAACATTGATTTGATCATTAGTAATTCATCTAGGCGAAAAACAGTTGGTAATAAGAGGTAATGGCCAAATCATAAGCCGTGTAGATGCAGTATGTGTATATATATATAGATATGAATCTTCTCAGTATTCATGGAGGGTCATCACACGCACGTTAGAGGTGAACGAGGTGAACTAGCGATGAAGTGCGCAGCCATTTGGGGAGATTGGCTGGTGAAGAGTCGTTTTTTGTACTACAGCACGGAAATCCACTCTCTCTCTCTCTATGTGTATATATATATATAAAGTAGATCATTTTCCAAAACGGGGAAACCATGGGCGTTCATGGGTTTTCCACATCTTTTTGGTAAAGGTTTAGCCAAAGGGACCAGGTCTCCAGGTATCGTGACCATGCCTTGATGCCTTGCTCCTGCCCAGTGTAAATTACTTGGAATGATTGGTTGAGATGACACATATCTTTGGGATGGGTTGAAACCCCTTGAAAAAGAGGAGGAGGCGGATATTCTTTTCTTTCTGCTGTTTCAAACCCGCGTGTTTTGTTGGTGTTTTTGCTCATACTTGGTAGCAGAGTTCAATACAGTACTGCTATTCTCCTCATCCTCATGACCACATATGATCACACATGATCAGAAGAATATGTAAGCCGCATCTGAGATTGATTCAGTATATATCTATAGAAGAATATGCAACACAGTCACACACATATATATATATTTAATGGGAGTATATGAATAGTATATGTTAATATTGTGAAGAATCTAGATACACACTATAGATGTATATATATTAACTGGGAGTATATGAATCAGCAGTTGTGTATCTAGATTCTTCACAATATGCTGTAGTGTTCGCTCCTCGTAGCTCCGCTGAGGACATGAAGCGCGAGCGGCTTCGTGCGACCGTGGTGACTTTCTGTGCAGCCATCAGTGCATGTGAGAAAGGTGCCCGTTCGGGAAAACCATAGGAAAACCATAGGAAAACCATAGGAAAACCATAGGAAAACCATAGGAAAACCATAGGAAAATGGAGGTTTACCCTCTGGTTATGTCAAACATAGCTATTGAAGCCATGGCCATTGAAATAGTGAGTTTTCCCATTAATAGCATGGTGATTTTCCATAGTTACCATAGTTATGTGGCTGTTTACCAGAGGGTACATACAATGTGGGGCCCCCAAACTTATAAGTTGATTTATAACCCCATGTAACTAGTTAACTAGTTCGTCATAAGTACCATAAAGCCTATAGTGAAATTGTAGTTATTTGCACCAAGTTAGCTATCGAACGGGGGCCCCACATTGTAGGTGTGACATATGGTGTGTGTGAGTGAGAGATAGCTATATTAGGTAGACATTGTATTTACAGTGTATACAAATATATACACGCATACACATAAAAGCATGTGACGAGACATGCGGATAAACCATCAATTTATTGCAAATATGGAGGATTTGTTTGAGAACGGTCCAAGTTTGGTGATGTTGTGGTTTAGCAAAGCCGTGAGGTTTTTGGCCCCCCATGTCTGTAAGTTTAACCCATTTGCCCACCTTCTAGGGGTAAAAGCGCGCAGAGTCACCACGAGTTGAGCAGATTTAGACATTGTAAATTGGGTGTCTTTTATTCCCTAGGTGCTACCCTCTGGTAAACCAACAGTTTGCTATTGAAAATTGCCATAGAAATAGTGGATTTACCCATGAAAAATGCATGGTGGATCTTTCCAGTTCGTCATGTAAGTTAGTTTACCAGGCCGGGTACTTTTCTTTGAGGATCCTCATGTTATGGGAATCACCATGAGAATCAACGGTAACCATTGTTATACTGGTTGGTGGTTTGGAACATGGTTTCTATTTTCCCCATTAGTTGGGATGATGATCCAATCTGACTTTCATGTTTTTCAGGGGGGTTGAAACCACCAGTTAGTATATAATTTGGGGCTCTTCTAATATGTCGGGAACGCACTGCACTCAGCAGATGCGCTTTGAACATCCAGTGCTTTCTTCCGTATTTCCTGGGAAATCTATTCCCTTTCTGTTTGCGGCTGCGCAACCGAAACAAATCAGTGGCGGAAAACACATCGTATATTATATAATATGATATGATGAATTATATATGCAATACATAAATATAAGTCAAAAATCCATAATTATCATTTATCGCTTTCACTGTAGAGTATGATCAGTATTTTGAACCAACCAAACGAAAAAAAAAAGGCCTCGACGAAGAAAGGGTTGAACCCCCAACGATAGGTGGACAATGGCAGCAGTCCCTGGAGATTTTTGGGGAACTGCAATGTGAAGCCTTGCAGCAGGCATGGGCTGATGGACCTGAGAATTTCCGCATTTATTGGGATTTTACAGGATTTTGTGGGATGTTAATGGGAATTCTACTTTATTTTGAGATTTTAATTGGATTTTAATGGATTTCATCGGATTTTTGAATTTTGATGGAGTTTATGGGATTTTGATGGTTTTACTGGAATTTAAGCATCAATGTTTGTGTTTGTTGAGGGCTATAATTGATAAATGACGGTTGATGGGTTAATATAGGGATATCATTCGTAAATGATGGTGGGTTGATGTTGTAAACCCCACCGTGCATAATGATTGGATTTGGGGAAACATTCCAAACATGGTCCAGATTTCAGGTTTGCGAATCATATTAAGTTATTTGCCTAGAAAGATGTGTGAGTGATAATGTTCAGCAGCCTCATTGCTTCCTTCTGCTTATGATGTCTCCAAAACGATTTGGCCGGCCACAAAGTCAAGCAAATGCAGCATGATGCGCTGACGTGCTTCGCTGGCGTCACAACCGATCCAACAAACACAGCAGCATCACTGCCATGATCCATGATGTTTGCAGCCAGGTTTGGAACATATCCTTTGGAAATTCCAACACAGATGGCTCAGAATTGAAGATTCAACTTCCCTCTATTCCAATGTCTGTGTCGCCCTGCTTTGCATCTTGCAGATGTTGTGCAGACAGCCGTGAGTACCAGGAGAGGGTCCAGTACCACGCCCGTCGCTTCGCATCCTCCAAGTGCTACCAAGAGGTCCTACAGCGCTACGACCTCCGACGACAAAGGGCGGACACCTTGGAACTGCAGAGGTTCACATTTCATGTGGCGTCCTGAGTGGCGGAGCTAGACTCTGAACGGATGACTCAGAAGTGTCTGGCTGGATCTGGCTGGTGGTTTCAAAGATGGGCTTGTCTAAAGAAGAGGTACCCTCTGGTAAAACTAACATAGCTATTGAAAATGGCCCATTATAGCCTATTATACTGTAGTTGATTGTCCCATCAAAAATTGTGATTTTCCATAGCTATGTTAGTTTACCTGGCCGGGTATCCCATTGAATGGCAATGTTGATGGGGAACATGACTCTTATGGATCAACGATCGGATTTTGTGGTGCCTGGTTTTTGACAAACCCATAGTTTTCATGGTCGTCCGTATTTCAAACATATTTTGAGTTCAGATATTTTTTTCCCAACGGACTTTCTCACATTTTATCTCATGATTTCCGCTCAGGTATGGTGAGTTGTCAGCAGTGCAGCTGCTGGTGCGATGCTTGGAAAGACTGAAACTGAATCCATGTTTGGAAAAGTCTTAGTTGATCTTTATCTGGAGGTTTCCCAAAATTGAGGCACCCCAAACCATCCCAAATTAGAGCATTTTAGCATTGAAACAACCATGGTGACTTGGGGATCCCCCATGACTTAGAAACCCCCCCATATAGTAAATAATTACCTAGAATAGAAACTAAGTCTGACTATATAAAGATAACCATGTTGGATATTTACTATAAAAATCCAATTTTATAGAAACTAAAGATATTTAAATCCACAAAAAAACCTAACATCCGATACTAAAAACATGGACCAAGGAAAGATGCGAAGCCGCTCTGCAACCAACTACTTCAACTCCTAAGGACGCTGCTGGAGTGCTGCAAGGACGAGATGCCGTGGCTGGACACAGTTGTGGTGATTTTTCCATGGGATTTCTATGGCAATTGGCATGGGATTTTCATGGGATTTAAAGATGATTTAAAGGTGATTTAATGCTGGAATTTTCATGGTCTAATGGGATACAATATATGATATAATGGAATTAGAATGACTAATCCCAATCCCCTAATATTAAACAGCCCTTGAGATGGGATTAACACCCGAAAAGAGATGCAGAAAAGGCTGTATTTATATACTTAACTGGTTGGTGGTTTGGAACATTTTTGATTTTTCTATATATTGGGAATAATCATCCCAACTTTGAACAGAGGGGTTGAAACCACCAACCAGTTCTGCATCTTTTGGACATTATGGGGGGTGCACAATGATCCATACCTGACATACCTGAACCAGTGTTGATGAAGGAGTTGCATGACGAGAAACAAGAGTGAGTTGGTGACGTCAAGAGTTCGAATGCTTTCCATCCCCAAAAATGGGCCAGTTCCAAGACCTCAATTGACGTGCGCAAGACCATCTCATGGATGGCTCAGCCACCAAGTAATAAGTAATTGCCATTGACATATATCCAGAATCAGTTCCACCTAATATTCAACACCCCGCAGAAACCATGGTACTGGGTCCTTGCGTTAAGTCCGTTAAGTCTCACGGGCTTGTCCCAGTAGGACCCCCCCTATATGGTTTGCACCCCCTACTTCTTACTTTTTTAACCATGGTCTCTGGGGTGTGTTTATTGTATCAATTAAATTATATATGAAGGGGGGGATGGGATTACATCAGATCACATTTCCTACGTGGGGCTCCCCAAACTCAGTTGATGCGGAGCTGTACTGCTAGACTACTCATGGGTTACAAACCAACTAACGTCACTGGAGACCCCACTGATTTCGTAGATATCTCGGCCATCCCAATTGTATATCCCATAGGATCCATAGGATCCATATATGGCATATATGCTAACATGACTGGGGTATATTGATGGGATCCATGTTACCATATATATATATATAGCAGCACCATGGATCCGTCATGGGTATGGGATAAGCCCGATTCGAATCGGGGACTTACCGACTCAGATTATAGGTATTAAGCCACTTACGATCCGTGGGATCCTCCAAGTAGCTCCCCATCTTTCCATGGCTCCCAGGTGGCAGGCCTTAGCCAGCCACCTCTCGCAGCTGGCTGACTCCACCATGGACCTGGTGGAGGACGTGCCATCGAAGGGTCTACGCTTGCTGCAACGGGCGGTGAAGGAATGGAGAAACCGGTCCTGTGTGGACCAGGTGCCGCAACGTCTTTGATTTTCGCAGGGATTGGGACACAGAATTCCAATCCCATATATGCTCCATGTATGGTATATTTACCTACATGACTGGGTGATTATTAGGGCAAATGTAGGTAAATATACCATACATGGAGCATATGGGCAATGGAATTCTTCCCCAGCATTGAATTTTACAATTGAGGCGGTGCGAGCCCCAAAAGAATTGAGGCACACTTAGGCAAGTGAATTGTTGATAAAGAATTTTTGTAGCTATATGACCTCTTGACCACCTGTTCCTCTTCGGTTTATCAACTTGCTTGATTTGATCGTCCCAATGTCTTCATTAAGTCATGTGTCAATGGGGCACCACCCCTGAGGCCGCTTACGTCGCATCCTTGGAGGAAGCAATGCGTGCCGCGGATGGCGGCGATTCGAAGAAGCTCCGCTGGATCTTCCGCCGCGCGGTAGCGGCCTTGTCTCCGCCGAGGTTGACGAGTGCTGCAGAGAACTCGGCCGTGGAGGCGGTGCCGGGGACGAAGGCGGATGTTCAACGCCGGCTTCGAAAAGTGGTGCTTTGGTGTTTGGAGCATCTGGATTTGATGGACCCACGGATCAAGCCTGCACTGCAACTCTTGGAGTGCCTGCTGGAGAAATTTCAAGAGCTGGTTTCAGAAGGCACAGTTGGCGGCCGAAGGCACTGGCTGCGCCTTCAGATGAAGTTTGGGGGTTCTGCTGTACCCGCAGCCGACCCGGAGGCAAAAACTGAAGGATATGGGCGAAAGCGGGTCCTTTGCCAACATAACTTGCGAAAGGATCGGTGCCGCAGCTGCCAACCCTGTCCTCATGGAAATGCCCGGTTTCATTGTATCCATTGCAGTGGCTGCTCCCATGGCCACTTCAAGAGGAACTGTGCAGCATGCAACGGATGTCCACATGGAAAGTACACGGTCAGCAGATGTGCAATCTGCAACCCTTGTCCTCATGGTAAGGTGAAACGTAGCTGCCCGCAATGCTCAAGCTGCGAGCATGGAAAGCTGAGATCGAATTGTCGGGTGTGCAATGCTTGCCCTCACGGCCGTCTCAAATCATACTGCAAGGATTGCAAAGGAGAAAAAAACCGAACTCTGGTGGTTTGGAACATAAATTTTATTTTTCCATACATTGGGAATTTCATCATCCCAACTGACGAACTCATATTTTGTTGTGCTTGTGTAATTATTGAGGTACTGCCGTAAATCTCCAAGTTTGGCGATCCAGACCCTGGTCGTGGCGGGCTGTCGTGGATGTAAGAAGAGGTGGAACAACAAAATGCAGACATAGACGCCTTTCTGGTACTTTCTAGATGTACTTCTGTGTAATTATACATATAATGTACTGTAACTACTCTACTTGGTGGCTCATCCCACTTAGTAAGTGGGTTATAACCCCAGTTATAAATGGGATTTTTGTAGGGCTAATCCACTTATAATTGGGGTTATAACTCACTTACGAGCCGTGGGATGAGCCACCAAGTATAGATGATATTGACCCACATCATATTTCCAGATTTTCCAGGTTTCCCACTTTTCAATCTATTTTTGGATTGTCCAAGTCATTCGACCATGGCTTAGTACGGAAACAACCATGGTGACTGGGGGATCCCCCATTTTGATATGGGGGTTTCCTGAAATAGGGGTACCCCCAGTCATCATCCATGTATGTTTGGGATTTTCCCTGAAATAAACCATCCAGCTATTGGGTATACCCCCATTTTAGGAAACCCCCCATATGAAGTCTTCCCACACCGCACCGTGTTTCACCGGACAGAAACGCCACGCCGCATTTCGCCGCGTCTCGCAGGGTTCGCGCCTGGTGGCCTCCAATGCGTTGCTCTCGAGCGCCAGGCGCTCGTGGCGGAGGGCCTTGGAAGTGCTGGAAGGAGCCATGGTGAACTGAACAGTGTTTGAAACCCTGGTTGATGATTAGGGATTATACTACCCAAGATATCGGGGGATCATAATCATCCAAGAACGGGGAATCCCTGTAAACCAGTACCCTCTGGTAAACTAACATAATTATGGAAAATTGCCATGCTATTAATGGGTAAATCCACCATTTCTATGGCCATTTTCAATAGCAAACTGTTAGATTTTGAACACTTTTCAACTGACCCTGTTTGACCCCGGTTGACCGGTGACAAAAGTCAAGGTTTAACCGGTCGCTCCATCGTTGATGGTGGTTTAATATGTTTTAATGGGGTGTCAACCATCATGGATCTAGAATATTCTGCCATCTAATATGGCAGTGTGTCAAAACCTTGTACCCCTGGTGAACATCAAAATAGCTGGTAAATGGATGTTCATCCCCCTAAAAATGTATCTATAGGTATTGATCCATAGCCATATGGTAATGTAATGCCAAGATTGCCAAGAATCCCAGTCCAATCAGTTGGGGTTAAACCGAGGCCAACCGCTTCAACTGGTGAACCAATAGCAGTTTTCAAAACCCTGTTCCTTGATGAAATTTAAAAGGGTTGTACTAATAGATTGGGAATTTTCAGAAGCCATCAGCTGCGAATCTCTGTTAACCAATCTTTTAACTGCTTGGAGGATAACTGTGGTACTATAGTTTACCCACATATAAGCGGGATATTTGGGATTACGAACTCCAAACCACCAATCAGCAGGGTAAATCTCTCGCATAGTGATCTAAATTTGTTCTGGACAAGAGAGGTTTGTCCGAAAATCGGGTCCCTTCAACTTGACGCCTCTTCATCATTTACCATGAAGCTTGTCAGTTTACGGTGTGACCCCAATTTCTGATACACCCAAATATAATCTCACGTTGGTTCTATATCCCATTAGTTCCCATTATATCCACATTTCCAGATGATTTCCCCACTATATTCCCAATCATTACCATCATATTCCCATGATTTTCCATTCACATATCCAAACTTTGACGGTTTATCATCATGTTCCACTTTAAAATGGTGATTTTTCAGATTTTTCCCCCCGATCTCCTTTTCAAATCGGGCTTCCCCTATGGTTCCGTGGTGGATCCCGGGGAGGACTTCAATTCGAGGCCAACGTGATCAGCTATAGTGCCTTCATCTGCTGTCAGCCACCGTGGCCCATGGCCCTGCGATGCCTACGGAGCTGCCAGGTGCGTCAGGTCGGCCATCATCCACTGGGTAGAAACGAATCCTGGATAGTTAGCCTATGGTTATGACTAACATAGCCATGGAAAATGGTCCATTTATAGATGGTTTACCTGGGTTTACCTATTAAAACTGGTGATTTTCCATGGCTATGTTAAATAACCAGATGTTAATGTCAACCCCGGATCAAATAAACCATGGTTTAGTAACTAGAGGGGTACTATGGGGTACTCCAATAGTTTATTGATCCGTGATTGACATGATTTATGATGTTGTTTGCTATTTTTAATGGAACATCACCATAGCAAAGGATGTGTTTTTTTTTTGTGGACGATCAAAGATTGACCATATGATAAGCTGGTTGATCCATCTGGTCAAACATGGCTGGAAATCCCCAAACTCAATGGAGGTTTTACTGGTAAAATCATCCATGGCTGAAGGGGTGAGATACCACCTGCAGCAGACACAACTAAGAGCAGTGATGATTTCAAAAAACCCAAAATTGGTTGATGATTTGTTGGGGGATTTTACTAACCAGCAATATCTTGGGGATAATCAGAATCACAAACATTTACCCCCTGGTAATTTAAGGGTTTGCGAACTGGAACATTGGCCATGTAGTTCGATGATTTACCGTTTGCTGGAGGGTATATAAATTAAGAACTGGGGATAAAGAGGTAGAATGGGCAGTTGGTGGGGATATTTTCTTGGGATATAACAGGGATTGATTTATTGGATTCAGAAAAGCAGCATGGATGATTTGGTAGTCTCATTGGTTTATAGCTGACACAACTATACATACCCTCTGGTAATTTAACATAACTATTGAAACTCACCATTTTTAATGGGTAAATCAACTATAAATGGGCCATTTTCAATAGCTATGTTAGTTTACCAGAGGGTAACCAGGGTGATGGTAGATATGTTACAATACTATCAAGTTGACTGGGTTGAAAAACTCACAACTGGAGGGGAAGATTTACAGAGATATGAAGGATGAGTAAAGGGACATCATGGGGAGTTCTCCGGGATAATATAATTATCGATTATAAAGGACATAATGAGATGGGAGTACAGGTTGAGCCCGAAACTTCAAAGAGGTAGCCTCTGGTAAACTAACATAACTATGGAAAATCACAATTTTTAATAGGTAAATCAACCATAAATGGGCCATTTTCAATAGCTATGTTGGTTTACCAGAGGGTAGCAAGGCTATAGAAGAAAAGGGAGAGCACTTTTTGGACCGCAGTGTGACCACCTGGTCCATTGCTCTTGGCTCTGCAGACACAGGGGAAGCACAGAGGGTGAAGGTGAAGAAACGATCATGGAATCGCACCACCAAAGCAGTCACACGCGCACACACACATACACACACATGGTTGAAAGACACCAAGAACCAACATGCAAAAGAATGACACAGACATTGTTTTGGGCGAGCATGAATAGACGACGTATGATCTTTTTACGTGAAAGTAATGATATCACGGAGAATTGTCCAGTGCCAGGGGCGCTTGCCCAGACTTCGTAGGAGCAGAAGTTGCAAGTGACCCTGGAAGTCTACAACGCAGCCCTTGCTTTGGAGAGTGGTACCGTTCAGTTCTTGGATGCCTTGCAGGACGCCATCGGATTGATCTGGAACCATTGAATGGATTACCACAGGTTATTAATCCTCCACTGAAGCGCTATTGTTGGCTGAGGTAACTTTTTTTGGTTGGCTGAGGTCACTTTTTTTGGGGGTGGCATCAGTGGCATCTGGATTTAGATGTTCATTGACAGGCTTGCCACCTCCAATTTTGCCATATTTTGCAGTGAAAGAGGGTGGATTGGATGATGACCAGGGAGATAATCTGGTGAAGGTGATGGTAAAGTAAGATCCCCAAAAATGATGGGTTATCCTCTGGTAAACAAACATAGCTATGGAAAATTGCCATTTATAGTGGATTTACCCATTAAAAATGGTGATTTTCCATAGTTATGTTAGTTCACCAGAGGGTATCCCAATTGATGGTTAATTTCCCCATACCACTGGGGCCAAGTTCGACACTTCCACGACACAAATTTTGGGTGGAAATTGCCAGGAGCAGCGTTTGAAACCTGATCTGCTGAGCACGTGCTCCTGGGCGAATAAGGAAGAAACGATCAGGCGCCGAGATATCTATGGTGAATTCTCTCATTGATGTTTTTGATTAAAAAAAGGTTGTGATAAGTTGTAACCAAATGAAGGAACCAACTGCAACCTAAAACGTGTTGGCACTTGACAACAAGTAGGTTTGTATGTACATGTATGTACCCCACCATAAATGACCAACTTTATTGCAGCCTGCCAGTAGTCTGACATCAGGAACAGGCATTTTTTGACACACAGGTAGATCATCACCTATACATTGCCCAATATGATCCAATTTTATTCAAGTTTCGTTTATCAGGACTTTCGGACTATCACATACTTGGTGGTTTGGAACATGTTTTATTTTTCCATATATTGGGAATAACCCTTCCCATTGACTAATATTTTTCAAGATGGTTAAAACATGTTAAAACCACCAACCAGATCACATACTTGGTCTTCTTCAAAGTGACCTTTTCAACAACCAATTTTTCAGCAGAAACAGGGTGCCATCCCAGGTTGCGCGGTGGGACAAGGCCTGGATGGCAAGTTGGATCAGTTGAGGATGCAAACATTGCTTTTGCTGAGGTCTGCGGGGAAAGGGGAGATAGGCTGTGTGGCTCTGCTGGGTAGGAATATATCCGAAATTGTATGAAATGCTATGAAATGCTAAGATTTAGAAGTCAAAAGATGGAGAATAGCTGCGATCTCTGAGGGAACTCCCAAGGACTTGAGTCGCTGGGGCTTTTTGGGACAGGCTTTTGGGACAGATTCTTGGTGACGTGGATAACGAAGGCAAAAAGAACTCACGATAGAAACAAATGGCCCAGTGGTGGAAAAATACTTTTCAGTATGGTTGATTGCGAAAAAAAAGATGTGTATGGCCATTCAACAGAAGCCAATTTTGTGTTTTCCAACGGTGCCAGGTCGCAGCGACCGACTTGACATCGAAGATCGCCATGGGAAAGGCGAAAAAACAAGTTGTGATCCAAGGTGGTGCCCCCAATCGTCAGCGAAGTATAACCAGTTGATTTTATACGTGTGTGAATTGCGGGGTTTGTGGTAGATATACAATATATATATATATAACATTATATGTAATATATAATATATAGTATTTACTTGTAATCTGTATAATATATAATGTATATAATCTATATAATATATAATAACTAATATTATATATATTACATACATATTTTATATAATATAATATAATATATACAATATAATATATATATATATATATCATATATATATAGATGTCATATATATATATATAGATATCACATATATATCATATGTAATACATGTAATAATCTATATACACAGTATAATATATTATATATAAATTACATTATATATTGTTTGATTGGTTTATAAATCATCAAAACTGAGGGGGGCACCACCTTGTAGACTTGGATTGTTTCATACAAAATCTTACCAAACCTGGACCCAACACGGTTCTGGAGTGGATCTGGAGGCTTGATGCCAAGATGTCACTGGCAAAACTGGGAAGTGACTGGCTGATGGACTCTAGGTATCTCTAGGTCATACATGAAAAGATGCTGGAAAGTGTAGAAAAGTAAGTATAACCACATTATTGGTGGGATTTTACTTTTATATCCTTTTTGATTTGCTATTTTGCTATTCTATGTTATATACAGTGGCTTTGAATTAACCAAACTATGAACATTGAAGGGATACAGGGCACGACCGATGCAAGCGACTGTGATGTGTGGTCCGAATGACAAGCCCTGACCCCAGATTTTGTTCGACACCTGAATGGTCCAAATTGTTGGTACTATACTGTTTTTTTAGTTGGTCGCGCAACAACTTCCAGGGATGTTTTTCATCATTTTCTCCAAAAATTGGCGGTTTTCGGATGTTTTCTCCAATCCAACCGCCTGTACCAGATGTCAAATTCCGTGAAGCCGCAGCACTCAAAGCCGGATCTGCGGTGAGAAGTCCAAAGGTCCAAGTCGTTTAAGGATTTGAGGTCTATTCCTGGTACCCTCTGGTAAACATACAAAAAACGATGGAAAATCACCATGCTATTAATGGGAAAACTCACTATTTCGACTGGGCCATGGCTTCAATAGCAAACTCTTAGTCATTACCAGAGGGTAAGTGGGATGTTTGTTCTTGGCCAGGCGGTGAGTTCTACTGGTGTAATATCAATTGGTGTTTTCTGTCGGTACAAGGTGAGGCCCCGAAACGATTGCCAAGGTGGCTCATAACTTGGTTAACTCGGGTTTATGGGGGATATATAGCATGATATAACTATACCCATGACGGATCCATGGTGCTGGCATATATGCTAACATATATTGATGGTATATTCATGGGATCCATGGCACACCATATATAGCAGCACCGTTAGGATCCGTCATGGGATATATAACATAATATAACTAGACTCAATGGAGTTATAAACCAGCGCTGGGGGGCCTCACCTTATACCCTCTGGTAATTTAACATAGCTATTGAAAATGGCCAGTTATAGTGGATTTTCCCATTAGAAATGGTGATTTTCCATAGTTATGTAAACGTTTACCAGAGGGTATCATTTCTTCATCTGGAAGAGTATCACCAAGCCACCAATGTCCTGCCATGGCCTCGACAATGGATTGTCGTGGCCTCAGAGACGCAAGGGAGATACCCAACCTGGTTATGACTAACAGTTCGCCATGGTATAGATGGCCCATAGAAAATAGATGATGTTCCCAGCGAACGAAACCTCCATTTATGGTTGGGTTAACTTCCATGGCTATGTTAGTCATAACCAGATGGTAATGCTTTGTGATTTCGAAGAGATGGGGATTTCATGTTGTTTTTTTTACCCTCTGGCTATTTACTTGTAACATAGCCATGGGGAATGGCCCATGAAAATAGAGGTTTACCTAGCTATAAAATGGTGGATCTTTCCATGGCTATGTTAAATAACCAGATGGTAATTGAGGATTCTGAGAAGCCATAGTGAAAGCTATGAACATCAACCAACTCGTATTTCATGGGATAACAAAAACTTGGTATTTCACATGGTTCCTTGGAGTTGATTCGTAGGTACTTGCCCATCTCATCATCGTACCGTCGTTGTTAGCTCCCCAGAAAAAAAAAACACATGCAATCGTTTATATTCACTCAATCATTGTTCATGTGAAAATTATGTGCATGGTCGGTCCTGCTGCATGGTTGTTTTCTGTTGTTTCAGATATGCTATTTCTTCCCCTTATTTTCCGTTTGGATCCCTAGAAGTGAGTACCAGGCATTTCCGGGTTGGAAAGAGTCGTCGATCGTTCAACTCTATGACTGTTGATATCCCATTTTGGGATGGGTAAATATCAAGATTAGATTGTAAGATTGACCACGTTTCTGGGTCAATTTGTACCCAGTTCTTGAGCCATACCCCAGGTTTTCCAGAAATCTTTATTTTTTGGGGATATGGTTGGGATTATCTGGGTGTGCCACATATTCAGACTCACGCAATTCCATTGATTGCTTGGGCTGGTTGGACCTCCATCCTCCATTCACGTGTCTGGTGAAACCTCCCTGATTTACCGGAATTGTGAGTCATTGTCATCTTAAAATCCCCAAGTGACTTTGGTGAAACCTCCATGTTCATTGGAAAAAACATGGATTAGCCCGCATTTTGGATGGGTAAACCATGTGACACCTCCATCTTCCCTGGATTTTACCCTCTCAGGTGGAGATGGCTCAGATATTGTGGACTATACCCAGGTGACCAAAGAACTTGGGCATGACATGTTCGTTTTTTTCCTTGGATGACTATTCAAGGTATAGAATGCACTTTTTTTTCAAAAAAAAAGATGGACTCTTACACATACACAGGAGAAATATATACAACATATAATACATATTTTATATAATATAGTAATAATAACAATATTAATAATGATTAATTAATAATAATCACAAGAACAAAAACAATACAATAGTAGTAATAATGATAATGATTTAATAATAATAGTAATATTTATGAGTGTGCATAAACAAGAATCATTTTTTGGGTTGATTGATCCCCCTTTGTCTTATGATCTCTGGCCTGGGACTCGCCAGGCTGTAGCCAGGAACAACTGGCGCGATTCCTGGGAGATCTATCGCGAAACGGCCCGAAGACGAGTGCAACAGGACATCGTGCCGCGGCTATGGCTGGATCGTCCCATGGTACGGGCGAAGGTAAGCCTGGTGAATCACCGATTCGTGGGATATCTCATATATAAATGGGATATAAGTCGGTATAAGTATGGTTACTAACCACTTACTAAGGAGGACCAAATGATTTATATAAATGATTTAGGTCAGGTTTGGGTCATTTGTTGCGATTGAAGCATATGATTTTCATTGGCTTGGGATTGTTTTGGTATTTTTTGTCCTTGAAACATGCGATGTTTGGAGTATCCAAGGAGCTGATCCAGACAGATACCCTCTGATAATTTAACATAACTATGGAAAATCACCATTTATAGTGAATTTTCCAATGAAAAATTGTGATTTTCCATAGTTACCCTCTGGTAATTTAACATAGCTATTGAAAATGACCATTTATAGTGGATTTTCCCATGAAAAATGGTGATTTTCCATAGCTATGTTAGTTTACCAGAGGGTATGTTAAATTATCAGACACATATAGCTATTGGTAACGTGAGACAGGCTGCCCAGCTGATCGCCTGATTGCTGTATGGCAGGGATCCGTAGGTCAGACTGGTGAAGCAACAGAAATAGAAATTGCAATAGAAATGACTGGTTGGTTTTTGGAACAATAGGTTATATCATTAATCAATAGGTTATATCATATAGGTATTATATCAATGGTATAGCATTAATCAACAGGTTACTGGTTGGTGGTTTGGAACCATGGATTTTTTTATGACTTTCCATTCAGTTGGGAATTTCATCATCCCAACTGGCGAACTCATCTTTTTCAGAGGGGTAGGTATACCACCAACCAGATGACAAACACGAATAAATCATAGCAATGATATATAAAAGGATAACACTGATATTTATGATGATTATGATATACAAACAAATAACATAATAGTAATGATAACAACACTAACAACCATAGAACAATGACAACACTAACAATTTAATAGTGACAATGATGACTATAATAACTATATAAGAACAACAACAATATATATATATATATTATATAGTAGTGATACATATTTCTGTGAAAAGAATCAGTCAATCTGTAGGTCCAACCGGCACCAGCAGCGGTCTGCAGAGGTCTTTTGGGGTGCCGTTGCGGCTTGCCACGGTCGAAACGGTCGCTGGCAGATCACCTTGGAGCTGTTGCAGTGGCTTCCAGTGGCCAGGTTGACATGAATATCAGTGTTATCAGTGTTTATGATTATCATTATGATATATTATGAGTTGATTATGAGTTGATTATGAGTTGATTATGATATCGCTATTATGATGAAGTGGATGTTTTAATATGTTTTATGATTATGTATGATGATCTATTATGATTATGGATATCACAATTGGATAGTGGATGTTTGATTATTCTACGGCTACGGACTGCGCAGATTCTACGCTTTCTTTTAATTTTTCGATGGAGAGTTTCGCACCTTTCGGAATCCATCCAGTGCGTAGCTCGAAGGAGTGTAGATAAACAAAATATCAGCGCCATGGGACCAGTGATGACCTCACACATAATAGCCTCTGGTTATGACTAACAGTTCGCCATGGTAAAGCCATGGCCCCTAGAAATAGATGGTTTACCGTTCTTAAAATTGGTGGATCTTTCCATGGCGAACTGTTAAATAACCAGACGGTATATTGATCACCATGAATTAATAATCTTTAGTCTTCTGGTATGTTTGGTGATTTAAACAGCTCACCCGTTGTTTATTTCTGTGCGGGGTATCCAAGACTGGCCATGAGGATACAACTTGCAGAAGGCCCAAATACTTTTTCCAGAAGCAAAGAACCAGAAGACATGGGGGAAAGGTGAAGCGTAGGGAATCGTAGGGAAGTGG